ATTATAATGAACTCTTTTCACCTAGCCAGTATTTCAGCGTCTTCATGGCCATGGCTTTGCTTGCCAGATGGAAACACTACAGTTCTCTGGAAGAGAAGACTTTGTGCTTGGGAAGGAAAACGCTTGTACATACATACAGATTGAGAAGTTTCTTTGAAAGTATTCAAATCCTATTGGGATTTATAGGCCAGGAAAAAAGGTCCATTCCAAATAAGTTTTAGTTATAAAGCAATAAAAGCATTATCAGCAAGGAATACATTGAATCCATGTTTTCTGGCGGGTTCTGTTTAATCCTATGTCATTTGAGTCAATCCATTGGAACTTTGTTAGTAGTTTGGTTACAAGATTTTGTGGAAGCTACAAATTCAACGCCTCGTTGACTTTATCATTAAGCTAATGTCTGGCCACTGATAATGCAGCTATAATTAATTTTTCATATGGGGATTTTAATGGTTTCTTATTTAGCAGTTCATGAAAGATGCTATCCAATTGGATAAAACCACCAACTCTGTCCTGTAGTACTAGCAGAAAATCCACAAGGTCAAATTCTGTGACACAATCATCATCTGCTCTTTGGGAGCTTCTCTACTCTCTCAAGAATTGGAAACTTGTACGCTGCACCTAACACACGAGTGGACCGTTGGTATTAAAAGTCAAAGTAGTCTCGTGCCTGTTGAGTCCTTACGAGTGTCTATAATCACCAATAGCAGCATTTCCCACATAAGAGTGGTTTAAGATTTGGGCACTTGCACAGAACTGTTGAGAAACAATATAAATCACATAATGATATAATTTCATTAAATTGTCCCTATGAGATGTTTGTTTTATCTCAAAAATTGCAGAGTACCCTTTGAATGAGTTATCAAATAAACGTTAAATCTAGTTGGGTTTTTTTTTTCTTTTTTTGGACTAGTTGATGCCATAAACTACACATTAATTACTTGTTAAGAGGAAAATTGAAAACAAATATCTAATTTTGCATTGAATTTGTAGACAGTTAAAGTGGGACACAAAAATTCTACTAAAATGACACTTGAAATATAAGATTGAGGTAGTACATAACTTGGGATTAAAATAAGAAATGTTTACACAAATAACTAGCATCAAGTTGTTGAGGGTAGCTTTAAGGTGTCAATAATTATATGTACATTGACACATTGTTAAAAAAAAAAAAATTGGGATGTGATTTAGGTCAAATGGCCGGTGGGTGCTGGACTTGTATGGGTTCGTTGACAGTATTGTTTAAAACAAGTACTACACAAGTAGTGATTAATTAGAAGTTTGACATTTGACATTAATTTTGGAGGGTGACTTTAGGCGAAAGTAAAGACCAATTTGAGGTCATTTAATTATTTGAATACATAATAGTATAGCAAGTAGCAGCTTAATTGCTTTTATATTTATCAGTGACACGTATTAGTTGGAGCGATGCAATTAGTCATTAGAGTGTTGCTGAGGAAGAACTAATAATTTGATTTGAGCATTGGGTAATATATAAATGGCCTTCAATTATATCAATTAGATTATCCTTTATATAATAGACTAAGCATCTTTTCAATCCTACTGACGACAGAAGCAACAGTACGATGATCTTTTTGCAGAATCTCCCGTTTCTTTTATATTAATACATAGTGTAATAGTTTAATCTACAGCTTTTATCCATGCTTATCTCAATCTGTATATATAAATACAAGATATATAAAAATATGTACAAGTACTATTTTTTAGTCTCAAAATTAATTGAATCTCTATATATAAGAAATAGGATGCCTTTTTTGGTTGAAAAAAGGGTCTTTTGACAACATATCTTTATTAGAAAAAAACAAAAATTTAAAATTTATGTTGCTGAAATCAAATTTAAATAATCTAATCAACATTTTATTTAAAAAACATAACCTAGTGTTCTCTTATTTAGTCGAGAGATTTGATTAGATCCTAAAATATTCTTATTAATTTTACTTTAGATATCCTTCTATTAGAAGTATTGTTCGGTGTTAAATGTGAGTATCTCTTTCAGAAAAGACTCTAACCTTAATTTGTAAAATGATATGAGAAACTAATATTTCTGCTAAACTCAAATCACGTTGGTTTTTCTTGCTCTCTTTTAAAATGAAGAAATGCCAGATACCGATAATTACTTCTTCCACATTAATCATAAATGTTTTGTGTATAATTCGATCCTTATCTTCGTACAGGGACTGCTTTCACCGGCTCTGCTTTATAATTGTCGGGTCCTTCCGATGACGAAATATTGCACTGTCTTTTCACCTCATTTTATTTATTGTTTTTTTTTTCCGAAGAAGAAAAGGGCATTATATATTACTACTATGTGCATAATGTGAAATGTACTAAATGTGAAGATTCCAGGTTAAGGAGAAAGACAAGCAGAAGCATACCTTCTTCGTCTTCAATATCTGAGCCTCCATTTGATGATTAAGTAGGATATTAAATTATTAATTAATGTTTACAAAATGGAAAAGTTAAGAGTGCTTTTTGAAAATTTGATTGCTTGCTTTTGTTACGTTTCTGTGTAGGGCACAGTTCTAGAAATCTTCCCTTTCTCCCACTTAATTAAGAATTGCCCTACCTCATTTATTAATTCATTTATGAAACCAAGGTCAATGAGTGATTCATATGCTTCTTCTCAGAAAGTTTGAGTGACGAAGGCATCTGTATATTCTATATCAAGTGGGATTTTTTTCTCTTTATTTTTTCTTGCTTGACTTTTTTTTCATATTTCATCGTTTCAATAGTCTTACAGCATCATCATGTAAGCGCACATCTTGTTAAAATTAAAGATGACCTCACAGAAAAAATTGAACTCCTGAACCACTTGATATTTGATAATGACGAAAACTATGACATTATGTCAATGATGATCCAGGAGGGCCATCTCAAAAGGTTAAATTAAGGAAAAACGGAAAAAGAATCTTGTGGTAATTAACGTTGATTAGGGATTTAATTCCAAATTCTCATAGAGTAGTGAGTTCTTTTAGTGTTCAACTGTATCACCAATATGAGTGGCCATTGTAGATAAAATAGTTTTTTTCAAGGACTCTTTTTTTTTTTGGCCGAATGAAAGAGATAGTGTTAATCCTCAAGCCTCAAACCATATATTACTTACTGCCTTAATATAAGAACTTGATAATTAATTTGTAAAAATTAAAAAAATTATAGTTAAGTTAGTTATTTATAATAAATAGATGTAGTCTTCTTAAAATATCCCTATCAATCATGTGCATCGAAATTATTTTTTCATGAAAATTTTTTAATATGTATAATAGCTATAAGGATTACTTAGGAGCATAAATATCAAAAACAAAATATATTGAAGTTTTATATTTAAAATCAAATTAAAACTATAACTAACTCTTATATTAAAAATGGAGAGACAGTAAAACTTATCCACCATCGTCTTTATGCATATATATCAATATAAATCTACATACAAAGTCATATTGTTCACAAAGTAGTTTCAAAATGGGTACAGTGCATGCACTATTGTTGTTGTCAATTGTAAATCAGAAGTTAAAGCTGGGTGATGTAAGATTCATAGGTTAAAAGTCTAACATAGACTTTTTGCCGTTTATAATTTGACATCATTCTGTGTTATCCATCTGTTTACTTGAACACTTTATTTCAACAATGAGTTGTCCTATACAGCCTTGATTCTTATAGGCCGGTTAAAAGGTGCTCGAGTCAAATGAACATAAATTTTTTCCCACAAGAAATATCAATTTTTTTTAGAAAAAACAATATATTTTTTGGCTATCACATACTAGAGTGGTTGGAATATTCATACAAACTTTACCTGCACGGTCACATATCGGTTCCATTTGAATTAATTAGAGATAAGCTGCTAATATATCATAGACATGTAAGAGAATAAGACACGGCGCATTATTAATTTTAGTTAAAATATATGTAGTAATTTTGTTATGGCTCACCAAAACTTTTTCCTATATGAAAAAAAGATCTTTACGATAGCATAATATGTTAAGACTGAGAAAAAGAGTTCATTTTATTCATGACAAAAAATGTTTGGTCCTCAACCAAAAAAAAAACGCATGATAAGAATTTTTGTTATATTTTGCCATAAATTTTTGTCGCAAATTTCATTTCTTTTTTTTAAATGTAGTACTTGGTAAGAATTTTCCTCAATAAAAGGAAAAAGAAATGCCATGGTCTCATTAATGGGGACAAAATTACAACTCATACAAAGCACCAGTTTTTCCCCTTCTCACGAATCCATTTTTACTTAATTAGCTTCCTAGGTGTGTGTGTATTCCTTGAAATATCAAAGCTAGCTAGGATTGGTTTCAACCACAATGGAACATCTAGTCTATAGGAGAGGACACGATACAAAAAAAGAGGTTCCTTTTGATCCACGTACTTGGATGAAATTGTGAATTATTCTTCTGGTTATTAATATAGGACTTAATTGCAAAGTCGATCTTGGTCTTAAATATAAAAATTATTTTTCATATTTGTTAATTTTTTCCTTATTTATCCGCATTGATACTCTCTTAACCATAAGAAAGAGAGGATATTAAAAAAGATAATTATGGTGTTTTTTTAAAAAAATAAATCATATTTCTTATAATTAAACAATTTACCTAACTTTTTTAATCTAATCAAATTAGTTCAATATACTTTATATTAAGTATCGGATCAGTAATACATGAAATCAAACTCTTGAATGGACCTACTGCGAAAAAACATCCATATTCCTTTAAGGAAAAGAAAGAAGGAAATTATTGTCCATTTGCATGCATTAATATATGCATATGCAAAAGATGGACCGAACTAATCCAAAAAGGAAGCGGATATGGAATTAAATATAATGAATAATTAATTAATAGGTATTAGAGCTGATGAGGTGTAACGTATGACTTTTTCTAGTTTGTCTTTATTTTGAGAGTCACATGTATCATTCTCTCCCCTTATAAATGCTGTGGTCTTCGCCTTTTCTCACAGAAATCAAGACAGTTCATATCTCTCAAAAAACGATCAGAGAGAGAGAGAGAGAGAGAGAGAGAGAATCAGGAAGATAATTACAAGATTGATTATCAGATTGATAATGGGTCGAGCTCCTTGCTGTGACAAAGCCAACGTGAAGAGAGGACCTTGGTCTCCAGAAGAGGATGCCATACTCAAAGCTTATATCGATAAACATGGAACTGGAGGCAACTGGATTGCTCTTCCTCAAAAAATTGGTATCTATATATGCTATTCACTACTCACTCTCTATTCTATCTCAAAAAGTCGATGGAACTTGCATCGATCTTTCATTTCACCAATATCTCTAATCAGTACTAGTTTTTACTTATTAATTAACCTGATAATGTGTAATTGATCGATCTTCTGATGTGGGTAAAATCTAAATATATGTATATATATATATGTTTCACAGGGCTGAAGAGGTGTGGGAAAAGTTGCAGACTAAGATGGTTAAACTACCTGAGGCCAAACATCAAGCATGGTAGTTTCACAGAAGAAGAAGACAACATCATTAGCAGCCTTTACATTAGCATTGGCAGCAGGTATGTATTACTTTTTCTCCTTTCCCCGCACATTCCCGTTTGTCTTTTTTCTTTGTCTCTAGAATCTCTGTTAGTTCCTTTAATCTAACAGTTCTTTTTACTTTTACCTCATTAATTAACAAGTCAAGGTGCAAATTTACTCTAAAAGTTTTCATTAAGGAATGCTGACTACCCAAAAGTTCTTTTTGATACAAATTTATCCTGGAAATTTAAAATCGTAACAATATTGCCTCCTATTATTAAAAATATTAACTGTCAATATCACTATTTTAACAGTTAATATTAGTTTTTCAATGGTAAGAGACAACATTGCTATAATTCTAAACTTAGAGAGTAAATTTGCACAAAAAAATTTCTTGATATCCAGTTATGCTGTAAATTTGCAACTTATTTAACCATATTATCTTTGGAGGAAAGACAGACTTGAGAATGAATGAAATATATAAGAAAGGTTATATATATATATAGGCTTTGAGTTATAGGTTACTATCTAAATTATCACAAGCTGAGACTTTCTCATTTCATCCACACCAAACCCATGGAAATTTGATTTATTGTTGTGGATAGAAATTGAAGAGCCGTTTGATGTTCATGACCTATGTGTTACAGGTGGTCCATTATTGCGGCTCAGCTTCCTGGAAGAACAGACAACGACATCAAGAATTATTGGAACACAAGGCTGAAGAAGAAACTACTTGGTAGGCGCAAAAAAGAAAACAGTACAGATCAGGACAACTCTAATAATTCTGATCATCACACCCTCAGCAACTCGGCTCTCGAAAGGCTTCAACTTCACATGCAACTTCAAAACCCTAATTTCTCTTTCTACAACAATCCTTCCCTCTGGCCTAAGTTGCACCCTCTCCAACAAAAAGTCATCTGCAACACCCTGCAATCCCTGAACCATACCTCCGATTTCACAACCATGCCAGAGAAAGATAATAATGAACTTTACAAACCAGCTTCTGCGAATTATACTACGGATCATGATGATGCAGTTCAACCAGAAGGCGTAAAGATCATCAAACCGGAGAGTTCAGGTCCAGCAACCGGTAATAGTCCGGCGGACATGGGCCGGATTGATCAGTTTGATATGGGAATGGATCAAGTTTCTGCATTGCAAACTGAGCTTGATGACATTCTCATGAGTGGTTATGTGACATCACAGCAGAAAAAGCAGGAGAACCAAGGAGGTGAATATGGTTTTTTCGGAGAGATCATGAGTAGTGGTTCATCGAAGGACAATTTGAGCTGGTGGTCCAATGATTTTGATGCCGGCAGATCAGCATCCTCGAACTCTTGGGATTCAACTACTACCACCAGCACTCCTCAAATTCTTCAGCCAGAAGATCAGGGAATGTTTCAAGATTATGACCTAGGTTACATTTTGTAGTCAAAGAAGAGAAGATACCAAAAATTCTTAGCTAGAGGTACGCTTCTTGAATCTAAGATTAGTAGGAGGAGTCAATGAATTAAGCTATCTTATTGGGTATGTCAAGTGATGGATATTGACGCGCTATAGATAGGCTCATTAGATTTTAACAAGTTCATTGACTCCTCTTACTGATCTTATATATACAAGAAGTGTATGTAAGAATTTATCAGGAATCTCTCTCTGAGGGTAAATTGTTGTATAATGGGTCACAAAATGAGTTAAGATCTGAGGAATCTAGTAGCTAGAAGGATGCTGTAAAAAATGTTGAATAAATCAACCTCTTGTATTTAGTAGAAACTCCTTAGTTGAAAACTAAATGATGTTTCTTGTCATTCTTTTTTCTTTTTTCTTTTTTTGAAGATTCAGTAATCGTTTCCATGAATTTCATCCGAGTGTGTGTGAGGGACTTTATATGTATCTCATAATAGTTGTTTGGATTTGGGGTACTGATAAATTATTACCAGTGTTATGAAGGGCAAACCATATATTAAGTTGTGTATTGGAATGGGTTAACTGTATTTAAGTCAATGATTACTTACCCAGCGACAACAACCCATTACGTTAGTTTAGGGTTTGATCTTGGTGTGCATGTCTTTATTGTATTAAATAAAAAACTGTTTTTTAATAAAATCTGATATAATCATAGTATGTTAGACATCATTCAATAGTTAGATAAAATGATATTTATAAAATTAAAAAACATATAAATATAGCATTCTGTTAATAACTCAACTACAAAAATGTGAGTGTGTATTTTGATCATGTGTATGCTTTATAAGGTGGATTTAATTATTTGTGGTTTCTTGGGTTTTGAGTCTTTGGGTAGCGTCCAATCTCCATTACGTGATAGGATCAAGCGACCGGGGACTTAATCTCCTCTCAATGCTTCGAATTGATCAGCACCATAATAAAAGCGAACGGGCCAATTGTGAATTGATTATTTACGATTTCGGGGAGATATATATTGATTGAAACTTGGAGGCAAAATTTTAAAAAAAGAAATGCTTTTATGGAGGGGAAACTAGTTTCAGTGCTCATCATATTTGAATCGTTTATATCTGATTTAATCTGTTCAGATTTAAAATATTTAATAATTATTTTTAAATGAAAAACTATTTTTTTTGAAATAATGATAATTAAGAAATTATCTTTATTTTAGATTTTATACATATTAAAATAATTATTTTGAACGAATGAAAATAAAAAAAGAATCAAATTCAGACTATTCAAATGAGATATAAAAAATCTAAATTCAATGAGTTTAGAATGCTTGTTGTTGCAACGGGCAAGGGGAAATTTTGCTAATCCCTCCGCAGGGCCAGTGATAACGGATGAGATCAATCTGATATTGTTTTTGTGAGCTGTGGTGATTTGCGGCGAATACAAAACCGTCCTTGTTAGGTGGAAAGAGTCCGATAAAGCCCACTTTACTCTCCAAAAGCCCAATAAGAGAAGGCCGCAGCCCATTAAAATGACTCTAATTATCACATGAATCGTTTAGCGGTGTCAAGGAAAAATGGAATTGTTCAGCCTTCAGCGAGTCAGCGCCCATCCTTTGCCAATTGCCCCCAAACCAATACTTTTGATTAAAATCAATTTTGAGATGACAAACCAAGGTTCAAATTTCTTAGTACATGATAATATCTCAAATAAAATTGCTTTTAATAGGAGGATATTTATGCATAACAGGAAAAAAAACATTTATGAGATTATCAAACATATATGTTTTTCATAAGCAGCCTTCGCATGCTTCATGTATTAGATTAATAAGTGTTAGGTGAGACGGAACTTACAAAATTGAATTATAAACACGAATGATTTAAAAATAAGGTGTTTGGACACACTATTAGAAAGTGTAACCGAAAGCATGTACTACCTCTAGTCTTTGATAATATTAAAAAAATTAGTTAAGTTAATTATTTATAATAAATATGTGCTATTTTTTTTAAATATTCTTGTTAATTATATGTATTGAAACAACTCTTACAATCACTATAGAGATTATATGAGGGTAAAATAGATAAATATAGGAGATAAAGTAGATTAAGATTTTATATTTATAATCAAATGAATCTCTAAATAGTTCTTATAGCCAAGATCAGAGGTAGTAGCTTATAAGAAAATCATGGATTTTGATTTACAAATTGATTCGGGCTTATATTTATACTAGCTTATAAAATACCACTCTATTTCTAGTTATCAGTCACTTGTATTCTAAGCCCATAAACTAAGAAATACAGTAAATTTAAATTACTCCTCCGGTCCTTATTATAAGACCCAATTTGACTTTTTATTTGGTCCTAATTATAAGACCCAATCCATTTTCTCTCTTATATTTATATTTTTTTCCAAGATAATCCTTCTAATAATGATAGTTTTAGCCATATACTTAATTAGCAAGGATATTTTAGGAATAACAACACTTATTTATTATAAATAACCAACTTAACTTACTTCCTTAATCTCCTCAAATAAGTCAATTGGGTCTTATAATTAGGACCGGAGGAGTATTATTTTTTCACATTTGTCCTCATTAAAAAATGCATTTAAAATATGTTTCTCACCTATCCACTTTCTCTCTTTCTACATTTATGAAGTTGATAGGAGCAAAATTAGAAAAAGTTCATCAGTTATCCTACAAATAACTTATATTTAGAAACAAGTTTTTTTTCCCTTATAAGTGACTTATAAATAGGAATAAAATAGTAACTACGTTTTGGATTTATAATTGATTTCGGTACTTAATTATAGGGGTTTAGTAACTTGTGAGGTAACTATGATTTTGGATTTATAATTGATTTCAGCATGCATATGTATGTGTAAGTAGAGCTTAGTCGAATTCAAATTTTTCAGCGAGGGAGAAGATCAAATTAGCTCTGACTCACAAGCATAGAAACGCACCGGCACTCGATCGGGGGCAAAAAGCGCGGTGCAGCTGTGGTTAGAACGCCAAGATCTTTTGAAATCTATTGGGGGGGGGGGGGGGGAAGGTGACAACTTCCATAACATAACGACAAAATAATCAAAATCTTAACAATTTGATGCAATTCTGTAACATTTCTTGTGGTTACTTGGCATAAGAAGCGTGGCAAATGATTAAAGCCCTTCAGGGAATAAAGAGGAAATATAATGTGAGATGGGGTCTGTATTTAATTTGCAATTAAGGGATGAAAATCAAGACTGTATATATAGAAGTTGTCAGGTGATAACAAAGGCAAACACGAACTAATTAATGAGTAGAAATATACTTCCCTTGCCTAACACAAGCACAAGACATGAATGAGCACTGTGCTTCCGATCTCTCTGAGATGCTTTTGATGGTTTCGATGAAGAACTGATGAAGAATCCCTTGATGTGATGATCAGTTTTGATGTGGTTCCAATGAAGAACTGAAGAATCCCGTTATGTGAGTTTTGGCCGAGGAGATCAGAGGGCGGTTCAAGCAACTATAGGAAGATATAAAGGAAAGTAATCGATCATTTTATACGTGATGAGAGATGTTAGATGTTTTAAATCACTTTTACGTTTAAATTTCTTCCCCATTCTCTCTTAATTTATCACTCAAATTATATATATTGTGTACATTGGTTAAGCAAGAAGCAAAGGGTTGCAATTGATGCGTCCTGTTTCAGTTGAGTAGAGTCAAAGCTCTCAAAAAGAAACCATAAGAGAATACGAAAAGCTGATGATGATTATCGTTTTTTAAGGCTGAAAAAGTGGCCTTCTCATGATCCTCACGTCGGCCTTCCACGAGAGCCACCCCAGTTACCACCCACAAAAACTGCTCCTCACGACTTATACAATAATTTATTGCACAAATCAAACTCGTCTCTTCTTTTTGAAAACGTAATCTTTTTAGTTCCCAGCGCAGAACCGTCAGGAAAACTATTAAGTCAATTAATCTGGTTACTTCATAGTCAAGTCTGGCGTGAATGATGCTTAACCCTCTTATTCTATATAACTTGTTCTTCAATATGCACATTTGCCTAATTTACGAAAAGTTGACCAACACACCCACGTGTCAACGCATGAATATGCATGCACCCCCACTTTTAGGTTCTACTCCACCACCTTTAAACCCTCCTTCGTTTAATTTCTTCATATCAGGGCAAAATCAAATCAGAATTCGTCTCTCAAAGCTCAAATTAAAACTCCCCTGTTATGTCAAACCCCATTTATTTTATATGTTATTTACTACCACGAAGCTGCCCCGCGTAGCTCTATTTTAAGGTTTCATATATAGCTTTGTAAGAAATTGTTTCAGATCTTATAAGAAGTCAAAAGGGGTTCTCCCATAAGCACGAAAATGAACACGATCTCGTGCGTAGAACCCAAGATACTCTGGAATTTATTAGTATCGTTATTTGACGAGACGCATCTCAGAGCAGCACAAACTTCGATCTTGCTGTGCTCAAATTAAATCAAAAGAATCGTATCTTTTGCGGTTCGATCGATCTCCAACTTCTTCTCATGAGCATTATGAAGCCTTCCAAGTCAGAAAAAGGGCGCTTCATCATCCTCTGCTTCTTCTTCATCATCTCCCTCTGTATCTATGCCTCCATTAATGAAGCTCGATTCGATGGCCTGTTAAGATTCACTCGTGGCTGTGATGCAGCGAATAATTCTTCTTCTTCTTCCTCCTCCGAGTCTCTTACTGCCGTTTCTGCTTCTTCCTCTTCCGACGGCGGCGATGACATTCGAATTCTCATCGGTATCCTCACGCTTCCCGACCAGTACCTCAAGCGGCATTTCCTCCGTCTAGTCTACGGCATACAATCTGTGGAAGGCGCGAAAATTGATGTCAGGTTTGTCTTCTGCAACCTGACAAAAGAAGACCAGAAAACTCTGGTAGCTTTAGAAATCATGCGACACGACGACATCATAATCCTCAACTGCCCAGAAAATATGAACAAAGGCAAAACGCTAACGTACTTCTCGAGTCTCCCTGAGCTCTTCAACGACACCGACCGACCATACCCTCCGTACCACTATGTCATGAAAGCCGACGACGACACGTACTTGAGACTCCCAAACTTGGTGGAATCTCTGAAACCGTTGCCGAGGGAAGATCTGTACTACGGGTATGTGATTCCTTGCCGGAGCATGGACCCGTTCGTGCATTACATGTCGGGGATGGGATATCTGGTGTCGTGGGACATAGCGGAGTGGATAAGGGAGTCGGATATTCCGAGGAAGCATTTCGAGGGGCCGGAGGATAAGGTGTTCGGAGAGTGGATGAGGGAGGGACGGCGAGGGAAGAACAGGTTCAATGGGAAGTGGTCGATGTACAATTATCCGGAGCCGCCGACGACCTGCACCCACGAGCTGTGGCCGGACACAATCGCCGTCCATTTGCTGAAGAATCAGGAGAAGTGGATCAAAACGCTCAAGTACTTCAATGTTACAGATAGTATGAAGCCTTCAAAGTTGTATCATATACCTTAGGCTGATTAATTTTCTAGCAGAGTTTCGTTAATTTTGACCATTTTGTTGATTTGTTTATTTTTACAGAAAACATAAAATAAAAAAGGTTGACTGTATCTATGGTCTGTAATCTCTGCTTCTGTGCTGAACCATATCAGAAAAGGGTCAGGGATGATAAAGACATGAAATTATGAACGCAGGGGAGGGTGTATTGATCCCAACAGGCACTCCCATATAAGGATTTTATACTGCGCTCGTTAAAGTGGGGATAGACGAAAGAAGGAGAGGTTTAGTGGCCTGATTTCGAGCTTATATCTCACATTTATGCCTGTTGTATAAGATCACTAGAATTATACTTCCAACTCTTGGGCTAAATAATCAGTATATATATTAAAAAATTAATTAAATTACTTATTTGTAAAAAACATGTGTTTATTTTCAAATACAATTTAATCATTTGTATTAGAAACTACTGTGATTAGTAAAACTTCTAACATATGGAATTAATAAGATAATTTGAAGAAAAATTATAAATTTGAGAGTCTAATCAAATTGAGGTTTTGCATTCATGGTCAAAACAAAATTTTTTAACTAATTCTTATATTTATGATTAAAAAAATTACTTTATTGGCTACTTTGAGTTCATTGATTGATTGCTTTTATAGCGTAATGGTATTTGTTCATTTTTAAATCATTATGTTATCTTAATATATATATTAATAAAAGATTTAAATTTCATTACAATAGGAAAGAAATAGAAGAAGCACTAAGAATAATATAGTTAGAGAAAAATATAAAACATGATCAACAAGACAACTAAAGTCAAAGAACTAATTAATTAATTGACCTACATTTTCGATAATCGGATGGATACGTGTAAGAATGCTTTTGAAGACACAATAAACCTTTGAAAGGGCTATCTTAATATAATGAACCTCCATGCTTAATGTCATTCTCAGATAGTATTGTTTTAGGATTTATTTGTATCTGCTTATCTTAAGTATTTATAAGTATTTTTATGTAAATTTAAACAAATTTTTTTACATACTTACTTTATATTTTATAAATTATGATTAAAAAGTTGTTTTTGAAAGCTTCTACCACAATCTCAAATAGGGGCTTATTAGTGTTGATCACTTGGATGCCTATTTTCATACCTACGGTTAGAAAATTTTTACGACATGGCGTTATTGTTGAATTTTTCAAGCAATAGCTAAATTATGCAGCTTTTCCTTATGTAAAAACATATACAACTGATTTAGAAATTTTTAAAAAATCCCTTGTTAGTCCAAAATTAGTTTTAGCGAAAATAGCTTCACATTCGTTATCATTTAATTTTACAGTTAAACTTTTTGCTCATATTGTTTATAGTTCACATGGTTATATGTATGTCTATGTTTAATAATTGGATCAAATATGTTGGCAAAAATAAAGGGATTAAATAAAAACCCTTTTTGTTTTTATTTTAGAAAAAGGCTGGGAATAATTATACACTTTTTTGCTGCCTTTTGTTTTCATGTAATCTTTCAACTTCTTTATTTTGAACAAGCTGGCAAAAAAAAAAAAAAATCATCTTGAACAAAAGCAAAACTTGTCATTGGTCCGTGATTAAGCCTAGTCACCTCGTGTGACACAATCATCCACTCATCACGCTGCCACAGTGGTGCGGCTTCGGGGTCCGCTCTTTTGACCTGCGCCTCTCCTTTTTGGTTGAGCATCAAGCTGCCTCCACAGTCCACAGACTCCGCAGCCAGCTGTGCCATACACACGCACTAGTGACCAGACGACGGCTTGGACCTAAGGCGGCGGTAGTTGGAAGCTGCAACCAGGGTTTGACGGCGGCGCTCCCTCTCCGCTCACTATCCCTTCAGCTGTAAGAGTCATTTCTCTTCATCTCCTTCTTTGGAAGCTTCGGAGAATGAATGAAACCGATCACCAGGCTTCTCATCATAGCTATGAGACTTCTTTCTATTTGGGTTTCCCATCCCCTGCCCCCTTAAACGTTATTTATTTGAGCTTATTTCTCTTGGGTTTGAATGTGGTTGCTTCTACGGAGATTTACGGATTGGCATTTTCATTTGGGAATTTGGTCGAGCAGCTGAGGCATTAGAGTGCCTTCATTTTACGTTATGGAAGAAATCAGAATAGGAGTATTTGTGGCTTCGAGATTTATATGTTTCTGCCTTTGCTTATTCCGAACTATTTCGTTTGAGCCGGTTTCTTTATCTTGGTATTGATTGCTTGTATAGAAACTTACGGGTAGGCATTTCCATTCGGGAATTTGGTTAAGCAGCTGAGGAATTAGAGTGCCTTACGTTTTTTCGTCAGGGAAAAAACCAGAATAGTAGGAGCGTTTGTGGCTTTGAGATTTTTATGTTTCTGCCTTTGCTTATGTTTGGTGAATGTTGGGATAGCATGGAGGGCTATGGCCCATGGATGTTTTTTCTATGCTATAAGTAAAAAAGTTTAATAGTTTTAACTTCATATTTATTCATTGTTGTTGCTCAAAGCTTACTTTATATTTCCTGAATAAGTTCACTGATCATAATGCACCTGAAAGCAACTCGTGCTTGTAAATGTGGCTTTATCACATCTGTTATTTGTTTGAAAAATTATTCTACAGAACACTGACACAATTTCATATTGTATTATGTACATATCCGTAGCTTATGGAGCTTACAAGCCCTTGGGCTTCAAGTACTTGTCACACGTAGATCTCCCTTTATTTGTTGACATCTTTCTTTCTTCTCCTTCTTCTTCCCCCCCCCCTTTTTTTTTTTAAAGAGATAGGAAAATCTAGTGGCTTGTAGGTCCATCGGTGCTTGTTGGAAAGAGATCATTATGACACTGATATTTGTGTACATATCTATGCATGGTAATATTATGATTTTACTTTTTTCCTTTATCTCATTCTGTAGCTTTATTAGTATTTATTTTTAATTGGAAATGTAAATTATATAATAATTGTGGCATCCCAGGTGCAGTATACTTCATTCTGACTAATTATGGCCAATGGTCCGGCACCATTTGCTGATATTGGGAAAAGGGAAAGAGGTAAGCATGTGTTTGAGACCTTGTTGTGCCCCTTTTTGCATCTTATTTTGTTAAACAATGCTCTTCATGTTATACCCACACATGAGTCTCATTCTTTCGCAGATATCTTGTACAAGGACTACAATTTTAATCAAAAGTTTAGCCTGTCAATTCCAAGCTCTTCTGGATTGGTATAACTTATCACGTGTTTTGCTGTTTTATTTATTATATATTATTTTAATCTTCATTTTCAATTTACACCTGTTGTTTAAGTGGTGTTAAAACTTCTTGGTTTCACTATCCCATGATTGGTTCTTATAAAATAATTGAACATCCCCTACTAAATGATAAGCTGGAGAGCTGCTGTTTCACATAAATATTTGTGTTCTCTTCTTCTCAGGTTGAGTTTCGTCTTTCTGTCAATAAAGTCTCTAAAGGCATTCCACCCAGAAAAAAAGAAAGAAAAGAAAGGAAAAGAAAATAGAAGGTCTGTGAAGGTTGATATATAGCTATAAGGCAAAGGTGGATGTGGCCAAACCTAAGCCTTCCCTTGCGCTTTTGTTCTCTTTCTCCCTCACATCCCAATCCATCTCCCTACCCCCAATCAGTTGATCCCCTAAGAATCCTTGTCTTTATCCCCATGCCACAGCCACCTCTCTCACTTGCCATATAAATTATGTTTTTCTACAAATCAGTTAAATTTCTTGCTGCGTCACAGGAGAAACGAAGAGTGATAGAATAGATTATATATAATGTGCAATTGATGAAGTCGTAAATATCTTTTTATAAGCTTGATGTTAGATGACATGAAAAGTGTTGATTTATTTTGTATATTTAACTAAATTATGCTACTGAACATTTGTCACTTTAGCGACAAAAATTTATTCAATAAACTATAAATCTCTGAATCTATTTTTCTTTTATTTCAATAATTTATGGTTAATTGAACATAAGAGGGATCATAACACTAGCCCTGTCAGCAGAGATTGTTTTGTTTTTCCCTTGTGCTTTATGATTTTATGAATCTGGCAGCATATAGCTTTGAATTCATTGGTTGATTTGCATATTCTAATGGGAATGATAATCGAGAAGAATGATTGACCATTGTAGGCTTTTGATTGTTCTGCTGTCTGGTTTTTCTGATTTAAAATTCAAATTTCCATCCTGCAGGGCCTTACCGCTACAGGTTTCAAGAAGGACCAAATTTTTGTTGGTGATATTAATACCCTTTACAAGAGTGGAAATACTAATTTTGATGTGAAAATTGATACATACTCCAGTGTAAGAAACTCTGATCATCTCCTTTAAACTTATATGCTGCTTTTCATTACATTTATATATTATGGATACTATACTGTAATTGGCAGTTACTGTGTTGCATTATGAAAACATTATATTTTGTCAGGTATCAACAAAAGTGACTGTCCATGATATCTTCTCTAACACAAAAGCGGCCTTGAGCTTCAATATACCTGATCACAAGTCAGGCAAGGTGAGTATAATCCAACTTCTCTTATTTTTGATCTTGCTGGTCTGCATATGGTAGAAAATTAAAACCATGCACTTGCATTTTGCAAATGCATTAAATGTTATATTTGGTTTTCTATCTTTGTGGAGTTTTTTAATTTATCAATGTCACTATCATGACTTCAGAGGCTGACTCAGTTTCATAGCCGTCAAGAGTATCAATCACACAATGTGTAAGACATAATTTGTTTTGGACTGAATAAAATGAGTGTATGCTAAAAAAATATGTGCTTGGCATGGTATACATGATAACTGTTTGAGATGTTGTAACTACTGTGTAAATTTTAGATGAGTAAACTTTGAAGCTGGTTTTTTATGACAAACAGAAGAATAAAAATTCTAAAGTTCACTTGCTTATTGAGATAAAATTGATGTTTTGAACATTTCATTAGTAGAATGATACTGGATAGTGCCTGATGATTTTGATTCGGGAATCTGCCTCGAATATGTTAGAAAAATTTACCTTCACCTAGACCCTAATCAAAAGAAGGAAAAATAAAAGAATGATTAGATACTAACTATTGGCAATTCTAAACCATGGGGTAACAAGCCGATGCTTTAATCTTCAGTTACAGGTAAAAATTTAAAACGGGACTAACTTTGGAAACTAGGAACGCATGAGAATGCATTTTTCTTTCTTTTTTGGGTGGAGAGAATATTTGTTGGGAGATTGTTCTGTGTGATATATATTTATGTGAAAAAATCATCTTGGAATGATTTGAGAACATTGAAGCCATTGTTATTTGGACGTTCATACTCTGACCCTGTGAATATCACTTCAGCTGGATGTCCAGTATCTACATCCTCATGCTGTCTTCGATTCTAGTATTGGCTTGAATCCTTCCCCTCATTTGGAGCTTTCAGCAGCTATTGGTTCTAAGGATCTCTATGTGGGTGCTGAAGTTGGATTTAGTACAGCATCTGCATCATTTACGAAATATAATGCTGGGATAACTATCAACAAACCAGATTACTCTGCATCACTTATTTTGTAAGTGTTATGTACCATATTTGTTGGTTTAATATTATTCTTCCAGTATTTTATGTTAGCATTTTCAAGTCTCAATAATTTGTGCCAAAGAATTATGTGTGTGAATAAGTAGACATTTAGGTCATTTGGTCAGCACTGTTGTTGGTTGGGCTTAATGCTCAATTTGTGAATCGAATGCCCTTCTCTAAGATATATTTTATATTTTCAGTGCAAGAATTGTGATTCGGAAAATGTTTTATAAAAAAAAGAAAGTTATAGTTATTAGTTATTATTGGTGAATTCGGGAACTCAAAAGTTGTGAATAGCAAATCCCATCTGTGTACAAGATATAAGCATTCATGACATGAACACCGGTTTATACTAGTCATAATGGAGGATATATCAACTGACTAAATTTTTTTTTTTTTTATATTTATTTGCCTGGCATTTTAAACAAAATAAAATGACGTGACTCACTATTTGTCAATGCAGGGTTGATAAAGGACAGGCCCTGAAGACGTCTTACATTCATTATGTGGACCGACCAGATGGATTCACTGTTGCTGCAGAGTTGACTCATAGATTTTCCTCCTTTGAGAATGGATTTGCCATTGGAACCTCACAGACAATAAGCCCTGGAACCCTGGTAAAGACTCGATTCACTAATGATGGCAAGGCTGCATTCCAATGCCAAAGAGCGTGGAGGCCTAACTCGCTCATAACATTTTCTGCTGAATGTGACTATACAAAGGTCTCGAGTTCATCCACCAAATTCGGCCTCGCTCTTGCTCTCAAGCCCTAGCATGGCTTGTCATTTCCACTCTGGCAACTTATTTATTCCTCTCATCACCTTACATTATTTCCGGAACCCATGGTGGGTTATGGGTTTATTTCAAGCCCAATCATATAGCATAAAGGGAAACCAAAGGAACTAGCAACATTTGTGAAATCTTTGAAAGCATTAAGGGAAAAGGAAAACCCAGTTTTGAAATATTTTTGTAATGGTAACATTTTTTTAGGCTGATTTTCAATGCTGCCAAATAAATTGTCTCGCATATGATTTTTATCATCAAGAGTTAATAAATTAATGTATGGTGACCGTTTTTGGGCTAAACGTGGATGCCTAAGAAGTAAGGTGCAAATTATTAATATTACATGTGGGCCTTTTTAATTTTATGTATTATTGATGAACATTATGCCCTAATTTAAACCAATCCTTATGTCTGCACCGTTATAATTTTTAATTAATCCTATTGCATTAATAGAGGGCTTAACTTCTAGTTGGTATTAATTTATAATTTATAATTCATATATTTTTTAGGAGAATCTAGATAGAGATGGTTTTCTGAATATTAAAATCCAAAATACTTGTTTTTATTCATCCAATGTCAGGCATTCATTTTTTTTAGCACATCAAATTACGCAAAAAAGGGTCTTATATGCAATGCGCAGAGAAATTAATTTTCAACTGCATAAACTCTTAGAAGTTGTAAGAAAATAATAGTAAAATCTTTTTTGTGCTTCGTATGCTGATGATGATTTTCCCGTTTTTGAAATTTTAATGTAACAAATATTTTTAATGAAAATATTAAATTTGACAGCCATAAGTATTACATCAAGGATCGTAACTTACAATGTCCTGTATCTAGCCCCAGAGGTTGAGTTGTACGAAAACCCGCAATGTTTTTGTCTAATAATTTGAGACTTGCAATGGTAAATTGAACAAGGATTAATATCATCCTTGCTCTTTCAAATTTTAACTCATTTTAGTTTTGGTTTCTCAATTTTCAAATCATAAATTTTAGTCCTAAAAAGACAAAATGATCTAAATTTTTATTGGATTATAAGGATTAATGTTATAAATGAAAAGAAACTTGAGAAGCCAAAATCTGTTATCTAAAACTTGAGGAATTAAAATCAAAATGAAAGCAAATTTGAAAAACTAAAGTTTGTATTAACTTATTGAATAAATAAATAGTAAGGACTTAAACTTCACATAACATGGTGATAAAGATCTTGAAAATTTTATATTGATGTTTCTCAACATTAGTATTGCTTGTTTTTGTATCAATAATTTGAATTTAAATTTGTCATTACTTCACGAAGAAGAACAGCTTCTTAATATGCATAAGATCGTTGGCAAAAAAAAAATGTATAAGATCATTTTGACCAAAAAAATGTATAAGATCAAATTGTGTTTTTCTCAATGGCCTTAAACTTTCAATTGCTAGAGCTATTAATCTCATTAATACAATTTATAAATCTTTACCCATCATTCTTCCACAAGTTATTTTACAGGTAATTTCGTTAAAATAATCTTTTAATGAAATCACAGGCCATTTCAGCTCTTATTTTTCGTACTTTGAGATTCATCTTTCCCCCGAACGCGTCTTGTTGAAGTCAAGTAAAGGCTATTTTCCATCTCATCAAGGAGTGAAAGATGCGGATCTAAACCCGACCCGATGAAAAGGACCGTGACCGATTAACCGATCATCTTGCTAGTGCCGGTCTGCCAGATCGTATCCCTCTTCGATCCAAAATAGCAAAGCCAGCTCTCTCTGATCTCTCTCTCTCTCTCACGCCAGATCTCTCTTCACTTCACTCCTTAGATCCCCGTAAATCCCTCTTTCTTCGGAGCCAAAAATGTCGAACAGCGATACAATACCCCTTCACCCCTCGTCCCAGTCCGACATTGACGAGATCGAGAATCTTATTCACGCCAGCGTCCAATCAAGTCCCCCCACGGTTCTTCCCGCCAGACCACCCAGTCCTCCTCGAGCTTCAATTCCCGTATCTTCTTCCCCCTTCATTCCTTCTAATCTTCCACCACCACCGCCTCAACTTCCACAACAATCCTCGAATCAGAAGTCCCTGCCTGTGCCAGCTGCCCCTGTGGTTTTAACCTCATCATCTAATGGCCGTCCGAGCATCGCTACCGATGGGTTCGGCTCCACTCCTAATACCCTTACAGAGCCGGTCTGGGAGACCGTCAAGAGGGATTTTTCGAGGATTGTTAGTAATCTGAAGCTGGTTGTATTTCCCAACCCCTTCCGTGAAGACCCTGGGAAGGCTTTGAGGGATTGGGATCTATGGGGACCTTTCTTCTTTATCGTGTTTCTAGGTCTTGCTCTATCATGGTCTGCTTCTGTCAAGAAAGTAAGCGAGCACAGCGGATCAATTGTTCACCTCTTCTGTGATTTTCTTTCTAAAATTGAGATCTTTTGCTATAACAATTAGATTTTTGAGCCATTTCATTTTTGCAAAGATGACTGTTCATTATATCTGGAAACTTGGTTGATATAGATTCTTGACCTGATGTATGAACTGTAGGGCTTAGTTTGACTATAAATATGAAGTCCATGCTAGAATTTTTTAAGTGTTTATTTGAGTTGTAACCTCTGATTGTTTGGCTTCTTGATTTTCTCTGATCATGTTTGGCACTCTGCTTCGAGGCCCATTTTCTTCCCTAATCTTTAAGATAAGCGATTTTCATCTTTTGTCATTTGTTTTCCTGTACCTATCGAATTACCAAATCCTGGAGGATGAATTTAAACCTGTTCAGTACGGAAATGCGATGATACCCCAAAAAAAAAAAAAAAAGACAAATCAGTTTAATTACTTCACTAGTATCTCTGTTAGAATTTGGGTTAGGAATGGATTGTGTATTTGCACTTCTCAATTTGATAGAATTGTACTTTTGGTGGAGAAGAAATAGAATATATTTTCTGAATTGCCAAATTTGTTATTCCATGAACTACAGTTGTAGGAGTTTGTTGGAAGTTGCTTCTCTAGTCACCTAACTTTTGTCTTGCAGGAATGTGATGGTTTATGCCTCTTGACATCTGATGAATTTGTTAGGATTTAGAAGTGATATATTTTCCTACAAAGTTTGCACCCTCAACTTGTTTTTGCTTGGTTGTCATTCTGATAACTTGGCTACAACATGACCTCTCAAGATGTTGAGTGTGATTTTTGGAGGTAGAGAGGCTTGCATTTTTCCATGAAAATCTAATCTCCTTTTAATGATATTTTGTACCGTCTTTTTTCTGTTTTTGCTGATTATAACTCCTATTCTTATAGGGATTTTGGAAATTCATAGTTTATTGTTGATTTGATGGTAGATGCTGAACCCATTCTTTGCATTTTATTTGCTTAGAACTCATCAAAAAGAGTTGATTTAGAATATCTTTCCTTAGCAATTTTCAATTTTTACATGTTTTGCCTATGTACGTGTGCATGCTATATCTATGCACAATAATTTTTAGAATGTGGCATGTATTCCCTTCAGTATTTGTCCTATACAATGAAAACATGATCATATGCGTTAAAATGACATGCATATCTTATCGCACACCTTGCAACATTTAACTCCCTTAATAATTCTGGAAATTCGAAGGAAGGAAGGATAAGTATCAGCTGATTAGAACATATTTCTTTTCTACATAGAGAAACTGAGCAATTATAAGCTTTGCTAACCTTATCTTATAACTCCAATTGATTTACATGTCATGGGGTATTCCTTTTCTAAGCCACTGCCGTTGCCCATATATCTGCTATTGTACGAATCTGATTGAAGATGCACTATTTTAACTCTCGCATGCCTTTGAGTCTCTTTATAGCTCTTATCAAGTTTAGGGGTTCATACCCTGGTACTTTGTTCAGTTTTTGTATCACCCTGCTCTGTCTTCTTTCTGTATTATGTTTTGTATGCTAGCTGACGGTTTATTCTACTGGGTTTAGTAAATCCCTGCTAACAGTTGCTTCTGATTGTGTCTCAGTCTGAAGTATTCGCTGTTGCTTTTGCTTTACTCGCTGCTGGTGCTGTAATTTTGACACTGAATGTATTGCTTCTGGTAATAGCCCCTCCCTCCCTCCCCATCTCTCTCACATCTTGTCATATTTTGAGTCTCAGCTTTTATTTAATCAACTTCATATTTCTCTGTGATGTTGTTTAGTAAACGTATCTTTTAATCTATCGAGGGGATAAAATTGTACAAAGAAATTGCAGTATGGGTTATAAACAAAAATTGGGAGCTGCTGTGACAGTTTACCCATCTATAATTCGTTGAGTGCAAATAGTTGTCGGTTGTCTTTTCATCCTTTTACTTTTGAATTCCAGGGCGGACATATTATTTTCTTCCAGAGCATTAGTCTTCTGGGTTACTGTTTGTTCCCTCTGGACGTTGGGGCGTTAATCTGTATGTTGAAGGACAATGTCATACTGAAAGTGGTTGTGGTATCTGTGACGCTGGCATGGAGCTCTTGGGCTGCATATCCTTTCATGAGTACCGCAGTCAATCCAAGGAGAAAAGCCCTTGCTCTGTACCCAGTTTTTCTCATGTATGTATCTGTTGGTTTCCTCATCATTGCCATTGATTAAACGCCTCAATGCCTCTGATGATTACTGGCTGCCATATGCAACTGGTATATGACCCTATATAGGAATTCTTTGTGTAGTGATCAACGAATTTTTGACATTTTCTTCAATTTGTTACCCCCACTTTTCTGAAGTTTTTGTTTCATATTTTTTGAGACAGACTTGTAAAATATTGCTTGGAACCGGGAAGGTATGTGATGGGATAAAAACAATGCGTATTTGTATATACCAAGTTCATGGAAGCCAAATTAGACAGAACTGATTCGGATTGGGTCAGACCACACCATCAATCGGTGTTAAGTTTTCATGGACACTATATCTTAATTTATTTTCAAAATTAAATGTATTAAGAGTGGGAGGAAATTAAGATTAACAAGAGCTCGACCTGTTCGGTTTTGATAATCAATTTAAAACTAATTGCTTAAATAAATCAGTTCAGTTCATATAACTAACTATTGGTAAAATTATTCAACAAATAACACCATATGTCTTGCGCCCGAAACTTATGTTTGTAAATCTAACTCCTAAAAGGGTGTTTAGATGAAACCAAACCATGGTTTGGAGAATAGTTTTTGGAGAATAGATTTTTGAGAGAATAGATTTTGTAAAGAATAGATTTTGCGAAAAAGTGATTCTTAGAAGTGAGAATGTTTGGATAATTGTTATCAGAAGCACTTTTTATATGTACAGATTATTAAAAAGGACATAAGTTAATATGATAATTACATAAAGAATAAATTTTATGATATATTTAAATTTGAAGGAATAAAATTGTTAATAATATATTTTTTATTAACATAATTAATAATATATAAAATAATATAATTAATATGTGTATATATTTATAAAATATAAGATTAAATATGTTTATAAAAAAAGAATTGAGAGGTGTTAAAATCATATTATCGTTGAGATCTATTCTGACAGGTACAATCATACTCTCTAATTTAAACTAGAAGCAAAATAGATTCACTTTTCCTGAAATTATGGTTTTGGCATGAAACCGCGGTTTGTTAATTTTCCTTCCTGTTTGGCAAATTTGAGATCTAAACCATGGTTTGGTCTCAAACCAATGATTTCATCATATTGTCAAACATCCCCTACAACTTGGATGATAATTAATCTAGTTATTTGCGGTAAATAAGTGTGGTTTTTTTAAAAATATTTTTGTTAATCACGTGCATAAGAATGAAAATTATTTAACATGGATGTTATGTGAAGGCTACTTTGAGAAATTCTGGAGGCATCTTTCTCTGCTTTGCTTTACGCTATGTTTGGTACAGGATTTTCGGAGGGGAGGGGAGGGAAGTTGTTTCCCTCCCCTTGTTTGGTTAGTGTAATTTTTTAAGAGGGGAGGGGCTCTCCTCCCCTCCCCTCGTTTGGTTAAGATGTTTTTTAAAGAGGGGAGGTGTTTTTCTTCCCTCTCTTTTCCTTCTAGCCTCCCCTCCAAAAGTGGGGTTTTTTGGAGGGGAGGTGAGAGATAATATTTTAATTTCTTATATACCCTTTCGATTTGTTAAACTCTAATCAGTCGTAAACATTTCTACATAAGAGAGTTCTTTTAAGTATCTAACAAGAGGTTATTAAGATAATTGTTTCCAAAATTAGTGAGCATTTGTAAACTTTTTTTTTTCTCTTCTTCTAATTCCAAGAGACCGTTGGTATTTTCTTTCACCTTCAGAGTCTTTTCTCTGATTGAAATCTATTACTTGTGACTTTTTATCTTGATATTCTATAAGTGTGTGATTGTGTCTTATAAATCAAAATTGGTGAATTGTATTATATATTTATAGTTATATCTTAACAAAATAAAAAAGTGAGAAAATTCATTTAAATTTTATGAGGTTAAAATAGTCAATTTTTTATTAGAACAAAATAAGGTATTATTAAAATTGCTCCCTCCCCTCCCCTCCAATCAATCAAAACAGGAGATCATTAAAATCCCCCCCTCCCTCCCTCCCCTTTGTAGCTACTCTCCCCTCTCCTCCCCTCCCTTTTGTAGCTACTCTCCCCTCTCCTCCCCTCCCCTTCCCTTGATTAAAATCCCTCCCCTCCCCTTCCCTCCGTCGAGCCAAACACAGCTTTACCGTATCGCAGAAGGGAGGAAAAGAAGCCAGTATCATGTTTTCTATCCACAGGGGGTTTTGTTCGCATGATACCACTTTAGTTATTGAAGTTTGGTTGGTTGTTTTTGTTGGATTGGAAGTGGTTCTGATTTGGTTTTCTTGAATCGGTGCTTTCGGTTTCACAAAAGATGCTGGTAGCTAACAGTGATTAACTGATTATCTATGGCAAAAGGACGCGATCTTTTCTGCAGGAATCCACTGGACGCGCCCACGTATGCTTCTTTTCTTTTAGGCTCTAATTAAAACAAAACAAATTTTTTAGGAAGCAACTTCTTATGGAAAGAAGTTAACATTAACATTATACTAGTATATTGTATGATTATATGAATTAATTAGTATGATTTAATTAGAATTATTTATATTATATACTACTTTAATATAAAAATTAGTTGACTAATTTGAGTATATTAAGAAAATTAGTTAAATTGGTTATTTATAATAAATAAGTATTGTTTTTCTTAAAATATCTTTATTAATTAAGTGTATTGGCTAGAACTATTATTATTATAAGAACTACCTTGAAAAAATAAATAAATATAAGAGACAATATGGATTGGGATTCTTATATTTAGGATCAAAATAAAAGTCAAACAAGATTTTATATTAAAGATTAGAGGTAGTATTATTTTATAGTTCATGTTATTGATTGAATGAAAAAAATTTAAATCATTAGTCAATAATAAAATCCTAATAACTTAATTTTCATATATTCATCATGTTAGTTATGCTGCCATATAGCCTTGAAATATATAATTCTATATAATTGACAAAGCTATGCTTAAGGGATATAAAAATTCTTAACATCAATTTACTTATTTGGGATCAAAAGGTAATTTTAATCAGAGGATTTCTTTATGACCAAAAAAAAAAAGAGGATTTCTTGATGAAGCAAGAGAATTTAAATAAATGAATAAACAAAATCGTCAATTAAGAGATCTACCATCTTTTCCCTTCTCACTCTCAGTTCGTGATTCTTCTCATCTCACTGCACTGCCCCTTTTCAATTGCTTCTCTTTGAAACTTACCTTTTGTTGGGAAACAAACAAGAACAAAAGCACAAAGTCGGGGTCATTATCTACGGGTTCCAATTCTGTATCATTACTCACTATGATCATGTCTGTTGAGTATGGAGAATTAGAATGGAACAAAAGTATTTGTACATGTATTTTTTCTTGGTGTTTTATATCTCCTCCCTTTAAAACCAACTCCCCTTGCCGCCATATCTGCCATTGTGCAAGTCCTAGTGATGCTCTCCTGTACCTCTCACATCTGTTGCCTGCATATGTGTACCTTTTGTTCTTCTTAATTTTGCTAGCACCAAGCTCCGCCTTCTTTCATGTAACTGATGTGCTTGTATGCTTTGGATTGTGAAGAAAGGCTAACGAGGGGTGGGGAATTTGTCTCGCGTAGTCTCTAGTTTTCCTCTGAAGATTCTCCTTTTATCCATTTCTTCAAGATTCCCTTCCCCCCCTTTATATGTTCATTTCCATTTCAGAATCTTTTATGTTTGAGGGTGAGACAACGAAATAGCTGTTGCCACTATGCTTACCTGAATAATAGAGCTACTGAAGTTTTCATTGCTATTGTTCTGGTTGATTTATTTGTTTGATTTCTAGGGTGATCATAACATGGACATATTATTTTCTTCCGGAGTTTTTTTTTTTTGGCATACTTTTTTCCGGAGTTACTTTGAAGTCTCCTGTGTTACTCTTTGTTCCCTCTGGCTCTGGACGATGGGGCATTAATCTGTATGATAAAGGACGCTGTCATAGGACTCACTCTTGTCAGTTTTTCTCATGTCCTTAACCTTACCATTTTTTTATTTCTATTATTCTAATTCTTCATTTAGATTTTGAAATGAAATTTGGGCATTTTAGTTTCTTGCATTGATTAAAAAAAAATTCAAAAGATAAGTATGATCAAAGCAACATTCTTCTCCTCATTCACTTGATGAACGAGAAGATCATCGGATCTTTCTATTAAAAAAATTGTAGTCTTTTTTTTTTTTTGGGAGGAAAAAGCCTCCTAGGTCTTGTTTAGGGCCAAGAATTTCATGTTCTCATTTAAATTTTTTGGAAGACAGTTTATGATATATATTTAAACTTTTTAATATTAAGATGTACTTTTAATACTATAGACTTATGAATTTGTTCGTCCCCGCAAACTATGGTTCTGTCAATATATATAAATATTTAATCTTTTAAATGGTTTGTTTGGATTATGTGGTAACGCAGAATGTATTGTATACAGATATACCACATCCGGTCCTTAATATAAGAGTTAGTTGACTACTTTGAGTAGATTAAGAAAATTAGTTAAATTAGTTATTTACAATAAATAGGTATTGTCTTTTCTTAAATACCATTGCTAATCAATTGTATTAGTTAGAACTACTATTATTACAAGAACTACATTAGAAAAAAATGAATAAATATAATAGATAAAATAGATTGGGGTTTCATATTTAAGATCAAATAAAAGTCAAACGAGTTTTTATATTAAGGACCGGTAGTAGTAATAAGATATAAACCAGAGTTTTATATATTTAAAAGATCATCTTTGCATAGTTAGAAGCAATTTGTCCCAATGATTTATGGATACAATTCCATTATAGTATAAAAATAATCTCTCTTTCGAACATTCAAACGGAATAAATACCAATTTATCTGTTGCAATGTTCATTTTACTGTAAGCTTTCACTGGAGAAGTGATTGTTTTGAAACCGATGATATGGTCAAAAAAAGCAAAGTTAAATTTAAAATTAGCAGAGGTAAATGATTTCGTGAGCAAAGAGCATCTTTGATGCCATCGCTAAGAGGGCTGCCCATCATTCTTTGATTAAGTGGCCTCTGAGTAAGGCTATTTGTATGAAACTAAAGTATAATGAGCTTTGTAAGTAGACGGAGGAAGTGGGTCTTATTGGCGTTTTAGAAACTATGAAGAGTTACCTTCAGGGTTTTTAGGTATGGTTGATGAAGTTTATCGCTTGCTTGAATTTAGTTATCACATATTGCCAAATGATAATACCTACAAGTGTTGCTTTCTATATTGTTCCTTGTTTCCTGAGCACTAAAACATAGATAAAGGAAAGCTTATTTTATTTTGGATTGGGAAAAAGTTTTTAGCTGATTTTGATGATAACATACATGAAGCGTGGAAATAAGGATTAAGATATAATGTCAAGTTTGAAGCAAGCTTGCTTACTAGAGGATTGGAATACCAAAAAAATATGTTAAAATGCATAACATAGTAAGACATATGGCTACATGGTTAGCATATAAACATGCGTCAAAAATGAGGTACGTAGTGAAGGATGATGTTGGGACTAGTCACCCTAACAATTGGGAAGAAGTTTAAAAGATTACTCCATCTGTTCCTTATTATAAGAGACATTTGATGCTTATAGCATGTTCCTATATATAAGAGACACTTAAAAGTTGTCTCTATTTTTTTGTGTTGATTTTCTATTTTACTCATATTTATTGTCTCAAACTCACACTCTCTCTCCTTCCCACTTCTCTTTCTTTGAATAATTTACCATTGTTCTCTCTTATGCTCTCTCTCCTTATTAATGAGGGCTTTTTTGGAAAAAAATTATACCTTTTACACATTGATTGTTCTTAATTCATTTTAACTGTTTTTTTTTTATCAATGTAATTCGGTTATTCGTCTCTTATAATAAGGAACGGAGGGAGTATCTCTTTAGGGCTCAACATGACCTAGAGGCTATAGGCTTCAAAGTTTCTTTTAAACAAAGGTCACTATTCATATATATTCTCGATAAGAGGGAGATTTGAAGACCTAAAATACCTAAACATCTTAAATGTGTCAATTATAAGATTGCCTGAGCAGTTAAAGCATTTGAAGAAGTTGAGGCTTTTGTTGCTAAATCATATCACACACCCAGAACAAAGATATTCTTCCGAGAGGCAGCTTGTACTATGGATGGCATGAAAGTAAAAAAGTTGCATATTTAATTATTTTTTAAAAATAAAAAAAATTGTACTACCTCTGATATTTAATATAAGACTTTGTTTGATTTTTATTTTGATCCTAAATATAAGACCCCAATTCATTTTATCTCTAATATTTATGCTTTTTTTTTCAAGATAGTATTTCTAATAATAGTAGTTCTAACTAGTACACTTGATTAGTAAGGGTATTTTAAAAAATATAACAACTATTTATTACAAATAACTAACTTAACTTATTTCTTTAGTCTTCTCAAATTAGTCAACTAGTTTTTATAATTAGGACCGGAGGTAGTAAGAGTTAAGCAAATAATTAGTTAAAAGTTATGTCCTAGCAATTCTAATTTGTACTCCTAAAACAAAAGAATAGACGTTGCATTGAAAGCATGCCCATTTAGTCTTAACTGTTGCTGTCCGTGAATGCATATTTATTTGAATGTTAAAGTCCCATGATCTTAGATCAAGTTGAGTTTAGAAGGCCCAAATAAAAGATGTCATTATTATCCTCTGGGGTCAATTGTGAATTGATATGGAGCATTAAAAAGTAAGCAAGACCAAAGTTTCATTTTCAGCCACTAAAACTGCCAAATCAATTAGATGGTTGAGTGAGTTCTGACTTGGACACGCCCACCACACTTACATGTGCTTCATCTTTCCTTTTAATTTATTTAATATTTAATATTTTTTGTCATCATTTATAAGACTAGTTGATTGATAAAGAAAATTCAGTTCCAATTTAATGCTTTCAAAATAATTTGAAAGGTGCTTTTTTTAATTTGAATAATGTGTGAGTTTTACTTAATGGATTAACATATTTCTACATAAAAAAAAAACTCATAAAACAATTTTTTGTTCATTCTTACACGTCAAACTCACGTGGTAGTCACAACCTAGCTAACAAAAGTTATCTGGTTGGTAGTTTGAATATAACTTTTGTTTTTTGCAAACATATTTATTACTATAACTTAGAAAATATTAAAATTTATTTGTTTTTCATTAAGTAAATTTATTTTGTGGGCACATGAGAAGCGGGACCAAACTGTGAATAGCTTGGTAAAGCAAAGATGCAAGGCAAGAGGCACAAACACATTGGACGAAGCCAAGTAAGGATCCCACCTTCTTGTCCTTTTCCTTCTCCAACCGCCGACGCTTCTCCATCTCTGTCGCTTACCTGACCTCTCATTTTTCTTTTGCATGCGATCTCCTAATATGGCCACCAATAATTACCTTCACTTACAACATGACACGTGTCCTTGTCAACACGTGGGGGTTTCCAACTGGCTTCATTTTTTTGACATACTGTAGAGGTGCACGCAGGGGATAGAACCCTTCTCCCAAGAAAAAGAGAAATGGTTGCCTACTGTGCCAGCGCAAGAAATTCTGGAGGCATCTTTCTCTCTCTTCCTTCTCTGCTTTGCTTTACCATATCGCAGAAGAGAGAGAAAGTAGCCATTGTCAAGTTTTCTGTCTAACCGGTAGTTTTGCTCGCGCGATACGTTTAATTATTGAAGCCTGATTGGTTTTCCCTTGGATTGGAGCTCGTTCGAATTGCAGTTTTGATTCGGTTCTCCTGAGTTGCTGCTTTCGGTTTCATGAAGATGCTGGTGGCTAACAGTTTTGATCTATGGCAAAAGGATGCTTTCTTTTCTGCAGCTGAGGAGGTGCAGGAATCAGCTGACACGTATGCTTCCTTTCTTAATTTGCAGATCCCTGACTCGTGTTTTTCTGTATGATTTTTAATTTTCGTTTCTTTGTTACTTGTAGTTGTAATTAATTATATGATTCGTAAGACTGCTTCTCAAACTCTGCTTCTTCGGGCTCGAGGCGATGTGTGTTTGAATTATTATGTGTTTTGCGACGCCTAAATTTGGCATGAATTCCGATTTAGTAGCTCCTTTATTTTTAAGTAGAGGAAATATCGGGGGTATCTTTCACATCTTATGTGGGCGGAAAGTATAGAAACGAGGGAGAGGAGAATGAGAGGCGTGGAAATCTTGCCCCCCCTTTTCAAATCTTATGGTCGTGTGTGTAATGGGCGTACAGTTTGCATCAAATAATTTGGAATCAGATGAAATAACTTATTCGCTTTAACTGGGAGTGATGTTTGGATATTCATATCCTTTGGATATTCATATCCCAGCATATTATGCCTTACTAGTTAAGGGGTTACTTCAGTTAGTTCTGGGGGGAATCATTATTGTAGAGTTTCTTAAAACGTCCATTTATATTATGTATTTGATTTCTGTCATGCAAAACAAAAATCATTTCCGTTTATCTTGATTTCTCGTTTCCCAGAATGGAATCTAAATACAGGGCATGGATAAGAGAGAGGAGAGCAATGTCAACTCCCCAGGTGTTAGACGAACTACGCAGGGAGTTGCAAACTGCTTTAGGTACTGCAAAATGGCAGGTAAGTTAATTTTGCCCTTGTCCTTACTTTCATTTCCCATTTCTCTTTAACTATCATAGACATTTGGAGCTCAAACTACAATGTTGTTTCATTTTATAGATTCCCCGACAAGTCAGTTATCGTCTTTTTGCTCCTTCAATCCCTTTGCAAATGTTCATATTTATTAATTTTCTGTTTTGATCATGCTGAAATAGTTGGAAGAATTTGAGAAAGCTGTCAGGCTAAGCTATAGACATCTTGGTGATGACAATACGAACAGTAGACATCAGCAATTTATTTCTGCCATAGAGAACCAAATTTCCCATGTTGAAGCAGCATTGAGGGAATCTTATATTGAGGAAGGTAGGCAACCTCTTGGCTGGGTTAATCTGGACGATGCGGAGCGAGATGATCTAGCTGCATTTCTATCTGGAACCTCTCAGACTGTAAGAAGTGCCAAGGTTGAACTAGAGAATCAGGTCAACGGAAAAGATAGCAAATGTAATGTTAATGATGACTGCAATGGGATTATTTCTGCTGATCATACAGATTCAAAGGGTATCATTGCCAGTGACAAGGAAGAAAATTACGTAATAGACATAAAAGCAGATGCAGTTTCTGGAAGTACTGATGATATAGTTTCTCAAACAGATAGAACCCCTTGCTCAAGGAAAACATGGAGTTCATCTAATTATGGGGCTTTAAGAGTTGTAATTGCCGATGAAGACGAACAGAGAAATGAATTCAGGCAGGCTGTTGATGCCACCCCTAAAGAAAAAGGATCAAAACCCATATTTTGGAGACAAACATGGGAAGAATATCCTCGTTCCATTCAAGCAGTTCATATATTCAATCAGGTTAGTGAATAAATTTTTTTAATTTTAAGATATGCATGCAAAACAAAACAACAGCAGTGCTCAGTATTGATTCTTCTGTCCTTTTAACCAGTATTTAAGATTTAATAATATTCATCTCAATACTTCAGATTTTGCAGCGCATTCCAATAAGAAGTTAATGAACTTTTAATACTATGCAGCTTTTGAGTCGGACTGGTTGGTTATTGAGACAATTTCGCAGCCCCCTACACTTGCGACATAGTTGTTCAGTTCAAGTTAAACTTGCTCTGATGCTGACCGTATTTCTCATTGGTAAGCTTTGAATTACAGTGTTTAATTTATGTTTATCGCATTCATTTTCTCATGCCCTTGAGGCCAGTATAGAATATAAAGTGGAAATTAACTTTGTCTTTTGCTTTCTAGACATTACCTAGAAGATTTTGGCACTTGTTGCAATCTTTGATAATATGGTTAACAATTACTGCTTTTCTTAGAAGCATCAGTTGAGGATTTTATAAGATTTTGTTATTTTTAGGGGCATGCTGATTTAATGAGGGCAAAAGGAAGCCATGAATATAGGGATTATTTTTACTCTAACAGATGGATTAATGAAAATATACTCTTATAAAATATTGACGTGGTAGAGAGTGAGAAATCTTACAGTGGGACCAATCTATCCCTCTTCTCTCTCTCTCTCTCTCTCTATATGTGTGTGTGTGTGTGTGGCTGTGTGTTTTACCAACCTATATATATTAATGGTTTATGAGATTTGTCTCTTGCTTTGCTTTTATTTTACTTCATTTGATTCATTTTCTTCAGCAGTTACTTGGAACCATATTTTAAAGTAACACCTTCACATGGAGTATATTTGGGAGTTCTGGTAGGAAAGGAACGATTGTAAATAGAACATATTGAGAAGGGGGAGTGAACCTTTACATTGGTAGGTTGTTTAATGAGAAATAGGAGTAAGAAGTGATAAAATACTGAGCATGTTTATGTTTTTTAAACAAAAACAGTGGATAGAACAGTTATGTTTGTTCTCAGTGAAATGAATTTTACTTGTTTTTATCTCTCTCAACTTCACTTTTAAGAAATTCAATCTATGGGACTGGTTTTGACCCTAGCGTCCTACTTTATTCTTAAAATCTAAAGAAGTAGGACTCTCTCTAAGAGCGTGTTTGTGACAAAATTATGTCGTAGGATCCATTAATTTCAAATTTAAAAGAAAATTTCAATTATGGTACAAAACAATATAATCATATGCAGCCCAACACATGACTGATATCTCATAACATAATATTATTCCCAAGCCAAATATGTCTCATTGGCTTTCGCTGCAATTAGATATTATGTTGATAATTAGCTGAACTTGAGTAATTTTATCTTGTTCTGTTTTGCCAATTATATTCTTAAGGTTATTCGTTCATGTTATAGATTTCCATATGCATAGGTAGTTGTCATAGCATGATAGGGCTCTCGTATAAATTTTAAATTAAAAGTACCAGTTCTGGTTCCTGAGTTTTTGAATATACCCCTTGCTATTATGGGCATTGTCTCTCCCTCCTCTTGTTACGCTTTGCAGTTTCCTTATTCCCCTTCAGTTTAGGTGCCGTTTTACTCAACCAGATCATTTGGTATTTCAACAGCCTTGGAAGTGTTTATTTATTCTTACACAAATAAACATTAGTACCTGAATCTGGCAAAAGCATATTTGTAATTCAATTTACAAATAACCTTGTTGGATAAGGTGACATCTCCCTTGGCTACTAGTTGGTTGATTGTGATTTATTTGTTAAGCAAGACCTTTTTCTTCATTTAGAAGTCGCTTATGGGTTTTTCAACTAGCACGGGCAGATTTCAAAGCGACTTTTAGGTTTAAAGATATAGACGTTAGAGATAATCAATTGTCCTATCTTCTGTGTTTGAGATTATTTGAATTGATGCTGATTGTGGTTTGTTTGTTAAGCAAGACCTTTTTCTTTATTTATAAGTCACTAATGGATATTTTGAGAAGCACAGGCAGATTTTGAAGCGATTTTTGGGCTTAAAGATATAGACATCAGAAATTTATTGCTGCTGTCATCGTGTTTAACTGAATTGATGCTTCTAATCTCTTAATCAAGATAGCCATATGAATGATTCTTCGAGAGGTTTCCTTCTGTTAGACGCACTCATATCGATCTTTTACTTTTGCAGTGCTTTTCTTGGCCTTGTGACTGATAGAATTGAGGTCATTGGTCGAATGTTCATCTGATTGTATTGGCTTGGCCTCTCAAGGGGGGAAAAGTAGGAAAAGTGCTGATGAAGAAGATAGTTTCTTAAGATTAAAGAAGTTTTATCCAGTAATAGGATTTGACCAGGAGGCAAGAACGGGTTTCGTTTTTCTTTCCTGGGGCCACGAATTGTAAATGCTTTCACTTATCATTTAATGCAAGTTTTGCTATATTTGGTGGTGAGATACTCCTGTTTGGATGCAACTTTTTTATTTAAAAAAAGAGCCAAAAAAAATTCATGTGCCTTTTATGCAAGTTTGAAATCTGAAATGCATCTTAGTCAACAACAAAAAAATCCGAAATGCATCTGACAATTACAAAATTCTCTTTGGTATCAAGACAAGAAGTGAATGCCTCGGAATTTTCACTTATACGACACGATGCGAAGGAGAAGGTGGTATAGACGAAGAACGAATTACATCAAGGTATAAGCTGAGTTAATTTCTGATAAGGAAAATGGCTATGACAACTGCGACAAAGATTTGAGGATGTGAAGAGGGAAGATGAAGTATAGAAGCCTGTTACCATGGTAACATAGAAGCCAATCCAAAATCATGATTTTTCTTTGGCCTTTTTCAGTTTCGGAGTGGCGCTAAGGATTAAACATATGATGACCTTACAAAAATTATGGAAACTTCTTACTGTAAGAAACGAGAGTTTTCATGAGATAAACAAGCCATGTACACGTTTTGATAAATTAGAACATTAAGAAGTCGAATGCCAGACCCAAAAATTGAGTCTCCCAACAAAACAATGTATTGCACTCTATGAAGTGTCAGTAGTACCTCTGTAAGTTACGTCTCTACCCCAAAAATGCCTTCTCTTCTGATCACGAATTCGCAGGAGGATTCTGGCAAATGAGGAGCAAACACAACACTGAGCCTCCTCCTCGTTTTGCTCTGTTGATAAACCCCACCTCCTTCCTCACCAACCATGGCGTTTCCTCCTCCTACGACCACTTCCTCATTCCTCGATATGAACAGCCTCGAGTTCACGCAATTAGCCCACGCAATTCCTAACGCAGCGCAAACCCTTCTTCCCGAGGTACTTAAACTGCTCAAATTCCCAACCCTAATCCCATTCATACCTTCTGCGTTTCCCCCAATCAAATCAACCACCTGGTTAGTCAAGACTACCGCCAATCCAAATCTCTTTGCCATTGACTTCAGATTCCCAGAAATCTTGAAAAATAGCGAAGATCTGCGCTTCAGATCGAAACCAGTGTTCTCGAATTCGGATCGAAACAGAGCAGCAATGGAATCGATCACTATTAGCCTAACAGGAAACTTCGATTTTGAATTCACCTGGAGGAATGACTCTATCTTGGCCATTATATCGAGCATCTCATCCGCAGAATAAACGCCCTGCACGAACACGTTGTCGCAAGGATCGTATTTGTTTGAAGATGTGAAAATGTCCGAGTGCGAGGATAGAAAAGCTGTGGAGAGTTGTCGGAGACGGCGAAAGGGGAAGGGGAATTCGGTGTGGATATATAGGGATGAAGCTGATAAGCCGCCATGGGAGGGTGGTAATTGAGCAGAGAGGACAAGTTGTAGGCAAAACTGGGTCTTCCCAGAGCCGCTTTCAGCCACTAGCTCCGTCATGGAGTTGCAGGGGATGCCACCGGCGAGGAAGCGATCAAGTACGGGACAACCGACGGTGCACTTTTCTGTTCTAAGCTGCAAGAGACTTTCTGGAGTCATTTCTCCCTACTTCATCTCTCTCCACTTTGGCGAAGAAGACGAAGGGAAATTTGGGAGGGAAAACCAAAACCATTTCAGCTTCAAAATGTACTACGACGTCGTTTACAGAAAATTCTGACTGCTACTTTTCCTTGCACTACTAATATATTTTTATGAAGAAAATTTTAAATTCTATGCTTTTACTCTTTTTTTTTTTTTATTTGCCAGCAAAATTCTATGCTTTTGCTTTACGCATCCTTCAATATATAGAATAATAATGACTGAATAAATTCCAGACTATATGGCCCAAAAAAATTCTAGAAGATAGTTTCAAAATTCGATGAGGGATGTAGAGGGAGGAGGAAGCGTTCCGTTTATTTATTCCCAATGGTGACCGTGTGAGGGGTATTTTGGTGATGTTTTATTTTATATTTTTTAATTTATCATTTTTCCTTTTTCTTTCTTTGCACATTCAACGCGTCGGATAACTAAAAGTTTACATAATAGCAGTTATACCAGACATAAATGAAGATGAAAAAAAAAAGAGGAAAATGGGTGAGAAAATCCTAAAATGTCTACTTAACAGAAATTGCTTGACAAAAGCAAAATGTCTTCCCATACGATCCAAATGAGTCCAGCTCTTGTACACAAAGAAAAGAATAGAGCAGGCTCAAAACTATTTTTTTTATTCCATTGGCTTGCCTTTCCTTCAAAATATACTCTCCCTATCAAACGGGCTGTATTTTTTTTTTTTTTTAGTGTCTAACTTTTGAGGCAGGGGAAAGGTGAAATTCTTTTATCACACGATTTTTCTTTAATTTTTAAATAGCTTTTTGACTCTTTGAATTGCCTAAACAAAACAATTAGTGGTGAGAGTAGAATCTTTTTCACAGGAGATACAAATTAATAACTGAGATTTTCACGGTCAAAATATAGGATTCTCAGGGGAAAAAAACTACCTCACGTCCTAATTATAAAAGTTAGTTGACTAATTTGAGAAAATGAAGAAAAGAAATTAAGTTAGTTATTTATAATAAATAGATATTGTCTTTCCTAAAATATCCTTGTCAATTAAGTGTGTTAGTTAAAATTATCATTCTTAGAAGGACTATCTTAAAAAATATATATAAATATGAGAGAAAAAATGGATTGAGATCTTATATTTAGGATCAAAATAAAAGTGAAATAAAGTTTTATATTAAAGACGGGAACTAGTAATAAACAATGTCCCACGAGCTTACAACTGAAGTTATTTCTCGTGAAAAAAAAAAAAGATGGTTGTTGGCCAATAGGAGAGATCAAAGATCTCATTGTCATTTTTCTTGCTTTTATTTCTAATCAAAAGATCTTGTATGTTAACCTTATACTCCTCCGGTCCTTATTATAAGACCCAATTTGACTTTTTATTTGGTCCTAATTATAAGACCCAATCCATTTTCTCTCTTATATTTATGTATTTTTTTCCAAAATAATCCTTCTAATAATGATAGTTTTAACCAATATACTTGATTAGCAAAGATATTTTAGGAATAACAACACTTATTTATTATAAATAACCAACTTAACTTACTTCCTTAATCTCCTCAAATAAGTCAATTGGGTCTTATAATTAGGACCGGAGGAGTATATGACTTTCTTTTTCTTTATGTCCGTGTCATAATTGTATTTTTGTTTCATATAGCCACCGTCTGATTCTTAACAAAATAAATAAAATAAAAGGGGCAGCGAGTGAAATATATTAATAATATTCTTTTCTTAAAAACTGTTTTTGGACAGGAAAGGGCATACGCGTACCAATACCATTATATAATCCCTCATGGATTGCCACTGTACACCATCTTCCCTTCTACGCAATATCAAGATCAAATTTACTCATAATGACTAAAATGCCCTGACATGCACGGCAATCACCCTCATCGTCCGGCGCCGCCATGAGGTTACTTCCGGACAAATATGCATGTGCAAGTCACGTGACTTCTGATCAGGTGGCTTGTGGTACGGCTAACGACGTCGTCACCGATACACTTCTACGATCCCTACAAGTGAGGGCTCTCAGTATCCTCCAAGAACACTTAGCCGAGCTCCGATTCTCCGCCATCTTCCCTCCTCCTTCAATCACCGCCGGGAACATCCTCCTCGACGGGTTCCGCCGAGCCTGCCGGTTCTTCATATCGCTGAGCTCCATCTCCGTTGGTGGCTTCACCGTCCCCAGCATCACGGAACACCAGCGCGCCTTCGACGTCGCTCTCTTAACCGTCGAAGAATTTCGCTCCACTTCCGGAGCCATAAACACAACGGAGCTCGAAGACCGACGAAGCTTGCGGCAATCGAGAGACCTGCTATTCCTCATCATAACGGAGCGGGGAGAATTGCTGGACGTTCCCACACTGTTCGATCGAGAAACATGAAATCGGACCCCAGAAATCGAGTCGGATCTTAGGCGTGGATTGGGCGGAATATTGGATTCTCTAACGGGTCTGTGATCAACGGAAGGAGAATCGGAATGGGGTCTGTGGTTGAAGGGCTCGAGTTTACCGCGGAAAAAGATATCGTCGGCGGGGCACAAGTCGAGGGCGACGTCGTTGAAGAACTCAAACAACTCGGAAGCCTCAGAAAATGAGGAACGGCGAGCCTCCACGGACGGCATGTCGTTGAGAGGAAGGTCACACAGTGAGAGTGCCTCCTCCTCCTCCTCCTCCTGTTCTTGCACATATTCCTCTAATTCTGGGGATGAGGACCGTGGATAACTGGGCTGATGAATTACAGGGGCAACTTCATGAGCCATTGTTGATCGACAGAAGGAAGAAGGGTACAGAAAAATGTATTAGTGGGTAATTAATAATTAGTAGATTGTGATTTGAATATATATACACACACGAAATGAAGAAGAGGACAAAGGAGGTTACGAGAAGAAGAATATAGGAAGCTTGTGAGGGTGGTTTGGATTTGTGGAGGATAGAGGGAAGGCGTTTTGGGTGGGGGTTTGATTTGGACGATGGATTCTAAGAAGTATAAGCAAACAAAAAGATAGTAGTGAGGGGCATATTCGTAGAGAGAGAGGGAGCACAGTGAAATGTCCAAACGATACCTCTGAAAGGCGTACATGAATGTGGACATTAGTGAGTGAATATTCTATCTTTTTCTTCTATATTTTTTGGTGAATATTTTATCTTGAGTGAAAGTGTAAATATACCTATGAAATTGTATCAAATGTGTGTCTGGCATTATAAACAAATCTTGGATATAAAAATACCACAACCGTTAATTATTATAACGTTGACCGTTTGTTTGATCGAAAGTGCTGACATGGATACTAATATGACTTAGAAAGTCTGATAAAGAAGAGTGGAGATACAAATATACTAATGAATTTTTATCAAATGTACACTTAACACTATATAGAAACCTAAGACGCAAAAATACTTACTATCATTGATGCTATAGTTGTTTAATTCATTAAATATGATTGTCTAACTCAGACTTTTGACCAAACTAGGTGACATAAAAGCTAAGTTACTATTTTAATCTCCCTCCTTCAAATGTAAACCCCTCCTCTTTGCAAATTAGAGGAGACGTGTCAAGCAACTCAAAGAGAGTAGCATTGCTCTTCTTAGAAAAAGAAAGCCCTTGATAGAGGAAATAAAAGAGCAAGTTTTGTAGAGAGTTTCAGTTTTTTTCTCTTCAATGAAAGTGCGACAATAAGGAGAGAATATTATTGGGATTGGAGGGAGACTGAAACGCGATCATTTGAAAGGAGGAGCAAGTTGCACTTAAAAGAGGGAGACTGAAACACTAGCTTAGAATCCTTATCACTTTTTTTAGTCAAAAGTTTGAATTAGAAAATCATTTTTTATGAATTAAACAACTGTAATATTTTAGGGTTGTTTTGAAATGATCATAGGGATTTTTACATCCAAGATTTGTTTATGGTGTCAGGCACACACTTGGGACAAGTTCATAAGTATATTTGCACCTTCATTCTTTTTTATCAGACCCTCTAAGCCACATCAGCATTCATGTCAGCGTCCATGTCAACACTTTCGGTCAAACAAATGGTCAACGTTACAATAATTAACAGTCGTGGTATTTTTGTAATTTTTTGAAATCATCATGTGTAATTTTGTATCCAATATTTGTTTATAGTGCCAAACGCATATTTGGTATAAATTTATAGGTATATTTGCACCTTAACTTTTTTTTTTTCTTATAATCCATGCTATAAATAGATAAACAATCTGGGTTGTATGAAGCATAAAAAATAATTGATAAAGATTAAAATTAAGATAGAAAAAAAATTATTAAAGAGTGTTTATTAGAAATAATTTCTCGTTGCATAAGATTAGACAATCCCATAAAAGTAGAATTAGAAAATATTACATTCCTCCTATGTTATTTCTCAATCTCATATATATGTATCTGTTGAAACCTAAATAATAAGCAATCACTCATTGTAAATACTTTATTAACATATTTTTTCAATCTCAATCCCAATCCTTATCCTCATTTTTAATAATCGTGCCAAACACACCTACATGTGTTTATATGTCTTTGCGTTTCTATTAAAGTGCATTTTCTATCATGAAAAATGAAATTATTTGGAATAAATTCATTCATAAATGATCACCAACAATTGACGACTATATATGTAAATCAAGTTAATAAAAAATGTTGGCGTACGTTACCTTCCAGTGGGAAAAATACAAAGACACGCTTGTATCTGGAAAAGTTAACTCACGATCAAGAAATGAATATTTCTCATCAAAATAAATAAAAACGAAATGTCAAAATAAATTGAATTTTGAAGAAATCACATTGAACTTGAGATGCTTGAATTAAAATCTCATGGCAGTTGTTAATTGCAGTTGAGAGAGCGGCGTAAGAAGAAATGAAGCCGGCTGTTGGATTTTAACCTTCCTTGATCATGTCAATTTTGATTTGTGTTCAAATATAAAGTAATTAATCAAAGTTGGCATTCTTTCTCTCTCTCTTTTTTTTTTTTGGTGGTGAGGGTCTGGGGGAAGGGAGCTATTATTTGCGGTCCTTTTTTTTTGGGCTAAAATTATTTTTCGATAATTGAATGAAATGATTGAGGGAAGACTTTGTTTTTTTGGTTGCATGTTTCATTGGCTAAAACATGACAACGTGATAGAACTCGGGGTGTGGTTGATCGATTGGGACTCATCCTCCATTAACTAAATGTTGAGGATTCGATTCTCACTTTGTACATAGAAAAGCTTTAAAATTCCTAGCCAGTTGTCCCATCCTTTGAGGTGCCTACAAACCAGTAAAAGGATCTATCAATGGATACCTTGGTGTTTTCATTTTAAAAAAAAAACATAAAAACGTGACAGTATTACAGAAACGTGAGGTAAAATATGATAACAATTAAAGGTTCTCAAAAAGAAAAGCTCATAAATTATGTTCGTACAAAATTTGGTTCACTAAATCACGAATCATACATAATACTACCTCTGATCCTTAATATAAAAATTCATTTAACTTTCAATTTGATCTTAGATATAAAATCTAATCTATTTTATCTTTTATATTTATCTATTTTTGTAAGAATAGTCCTCATAGATTAAATATATTAAAAATTCTATCAAATGATAATTCTAACTAATACACATTATTAATAAAAATATTCTTAAAAAAAACATATATTTATTATAAATAACTAATTTAACTAATTTTTTTAATCTTTTTAAATTAATTAACTAATTCTTATATTAAAAATCAGAAATAATGGTTAGTACTCTCAATTTCTATTCAATTTTAAATCAATCCGAATATCCACCGCATTTGTATTTCCGTCGGTCATTGCTTAACTCTTGTCCATTATTTTTGGGTACTGTGACTTGTTCTTAAATTAATTTGATCCTTTAGACAAAAGGTCAAGCCATCCCACATTTTAGCTTTTCAAAATTTTTCTACAATTGTATGATACTTGTACTAATTAATTAATTATATGAATCAGCATCTTCCACATCTAAACCTGACTATTATGCATTAAAATCAAGTTATCCTGGTCATAATTTTATTAAAAAAAATTGATAAGAAATGAAAATTTACAAACGGTAAAGAAAATTGAAACCTATAAACAAGCGAACACAAACACAAAATTAGCACCGAAATTTGTAATCGAGCTCCGCTGCATTGTACTAAGTGCCAACCCTATAACCACCGTCCGCCGACCGCCGCCGCCACGTCCCTCCACTAAGCCCGATCATCGAACAAACCAATCGCTTCTCCAATCCTCTCAAGCCCACCATGCAGTCCATGCTTGAAAAATGCGAAATGGACGAGTGCACCAACATAGGTGCTTCAAGGGCATACTTAATTTAATAAAAATTGACGCCAAGTTCGTCATCGGATTCTCCCCAGCCTCTCTTATAGAAGAAAATTATTCATTAATTTGGAGCATTTGATCCTTATTATTCTTTCTTTTTCCGCTAAAGATCCTTATTACACTAAAACTTAAATTTGATGGACGAAAAACCATATGGAAGTTTAATCCCCAATTTTCTGATTGAAACTACGGGAGAAACCAATAAATTCGCGAAATAGTGACCAGATCATGAATGGCAGACTATAACAGTAAAGTTAATCATTCAAAAGAAGTACATTGTTGAAATTGTTATAATTATAATTCAAGAGGCGCCATATATCACTTCTTCACATCAACAATAGTTGCACAGAGAAAGCGAAACCAAAAGCCCTAATTCGTAAAATTCCCCCCCAAATACCTAAATCTCTAACCTCCGAAACCATAAAGAGTCCTGCCCTGCCTCTTCAAGGCGTAAACAACATCCATGGCGGTCACAGTCTTGCGACGAGCATGCTCAGTGTAGGTCACGGCGTCGCGAATGACGTTCTCGAGGAAGATCTTGAGAACACCACGGGTTTCCTCGTAGATGAGACCGCTGATACGCTTCACACCGCCACGCCTGGCGAGACGGCGAATAGCCGGCTTGGTGATACCTTGGATGTTATCCCTCAGAACCTTACGGTGACGCTTCGCTCCCCCCTTTCCGAGACCCTTACCGCCCTTTCCTCTTCCAGACATGTTTGATTTGATTCTTCTCTCTTTCCCACTCCCTCTTAAACAAAGCCAAGATGCGACTGCGGTAGAAGCAGAGCTCTGCCGGATTATATAAAGTACGATGATGGATTGTGGATCGTTGGATTAGATATCGATCCGTGTTTTGGGTACGGTGACGATTGTGACCGTTGGATTGGAAATGCAGGGGTTTGATTGGTTGAGTGTGGATGAGCGAGGATACGAAGCTTTTTCAGAGTCTGTTTTTTTGGGGGGAAACGCGCGATTGCGGAATGCGGCGAAATTTGAAAACCGCGTTTGTTTAATGAAAAGTTTAAACGAAAGCGAAGGCGCTAAACTCCAGATATGGTGCAGGCGCCCAAACATAACACTCATAACAAGTAACAACACGTTGGTTAAGACCTATAGGTCTCCAAATTTCATTTACCTGTGGGGTATTAAAAAATAGTGCAACTTTCTGTATGAACCAACAGTTCAACACCAAACATAGAAAACTTGCTTAACACGAGCAGGCACTAACAAGCGGTAAAATAGCCTACTAATCTATATTCATATAACCATTCATCCGCAGTTTCATTTTTTCTTTTTGGGTAGAATCCCCACTTTCATTTTTAATATTTAGCACATTCACCTCCCCCATAAAATTATTAGGACTGTTCACGGGACGGATCGGGACCGGGACAGACCCGTCCCAATGAATAGTAACGAGATAGATTTTCTATCCCGTGTCCCAGCCCGTCCCGAGATTGTCTCGGTCCCGATCGGGACGGGACGGGACGGGACTGGGATGTCCTGAACTCTTTTTTTTAATTTTTTTAAATTTTTTTAATTTTTTAATAAAATCTTTTTTTAATTATATTTTTTTGGGTTTAAACCTTATAAAAACATCTTTTTATTTTCTTTTTTATTTGTTTAGGCACTCTTAAACAAAAGTTCAAAATATTACATATAATAATCATTAAAAACTCTAAACAAAAGTTTTTAACACAATAAAAACTTGCTAAAAATTCTAATCATCAATAATCTCAAATCATTAATAAATATAAAAACTCTAAATAAATATATCCATAGTTCTATACAATAATCTCAAATATTAAAAAAATAAAAAAATAATATTATATAAACAGGATAAAAAAATTTTTAAAAAAAAAGGAACCGGGACAGGACGACCCCGTCCCGTGTCCTGTCCCGTCCCGGTCCCTTTTTTGTCCCGTCCCAATAAGACCGGGACCGGGACGGGCTGGCCTTGAACACTCCTAAAAATTATTATTTATGTCACTGTTGCGGAGTGTGATATAAGGCACAAATGCGAATATTCATCTTTTTTTTTCTTTTAATACTACTTTCAATCGTTAATATAATAACTAAATAATTAATTTGGGAAGATTAAAAAAATTACTTATTTATTAGGGCTATTCACGGGACGGATCGGGACCGGGACATGCCTGTCCCGGTTCCGTCCCGATGAACAGTACAGGACAGATTTTCTGTCCCGTGTCCCAGCCCGTCCTGGGGTTGTCCCAATCCCGGTCAGGACGGGACGGGATGGGATCGGGACGTCTCGAACATTTTTTTAAAAATTTTTTTAATTTTTTTAATTTTTTAAAATAAAATCTGAATTTTTTAATTATATTTTTTTGGGTTTAAACCTTATAAAAAAACATCTTTTTATTTTTTTATTTGTTTGGGCACTCTTAAACAAAAGCTCAAAATATTACATATAATAATCATTAAAAACTCTAAATAAAAGCTTTTAACACAATAAAAACTTGCTAAAAATTCTAATAATCAATAATCTCAAATCATTAATAAATATAAAAACTCTAAATAAATATATCTATAGTTTCATACAATAGTCTCAAATCTTAAAAAAATGATATTATATAAATACGATAAAAAATTAAAAAATTTAAAAAAAAAAAAAAAAAAGAACTAGGACGGGACCAGGACGGGAGGACCCCGTCCCGTGTCCCGTCCCGTCCCGGTCCCTTTTTTGTCCCGTACCGTCCCAATAAGATCGGGACGGGCCGACCTTGAACACCCCTATTATTTATAACAAATATATGTTGATTTTTTTTAAATTATTCTAATTCAATCATGTATATTGAAATTATATTTGAATAAAAACACCTTATATCAATAGGAATATTTTTTAGAATACACTATAAATTTAGAAGAAAAAATGAATTGAATAATTATATTTAGAACCTTCAACTAGTCTTTATATTTAGGACAGGAAGTACTATTCAATTTTACCATGTTCTCCGTATAAAACTGCCCGGGTTTAGCATAACAATTAGGTATATAATTATCATGCATCTTTCAGTTGCCCATCAATGAGCATCAAACATCATTATCGATATCAATATTTAATTCAACTAGATATTAGTTCCATGCATACTTTGAAATGAATTTCAGTTTGCTCATTACATGTAAGTAACAAGGCTTGCTGTAAATTTTATATTTTATATTAATTAAAATATTTTTTGCCAACATATTAATTAATGTAAAAAAATATACTAACATAAAACAACAGTACACATTAACTCATAAGATTAAGATCAAGCCTTATTTAGGCTCTTAGTTCTTTTACTTTGACTGCATAAAATGCCAAAAAAATTGTTCGAATTTAGCGAAGAGGGGGAAAAAAAAGTGGTAGCTTTAGGTTTTATCACCATGGAAAGCGGTGACAAAAAAGTCAATGAACTTGACAGGAATATTAATGCTGCGGCAGGTTCATTTCTATCAACGGCCACGGATGGAGATATGGAGTATATTTACGTGTATGGTTTAAACCATCGCTCAAGAGTGCTTTTCAGCGATAAGGAAAGAATTATAAGGTTCTTTTTTTATCATTCAAAAGTCTCTCTTTCTTGCCTCAGCAGATTTTATATTTTTAAATGTGAAGGGGTAAAAATGTATTCATGAGCCAAGACCATATTAAAAAGAGACAAATTTGCCTTCAAATCTATAGCTATTTGAAAAGCTCCGGAGTGATGCTTGTGGTACGCCTTGTATATTGTGAGCAACATTAACCCATTTCAATTTTCGATAATAATAACAACGATAATGATAGAAGTAATTATTAACTAACATGAAATATTTTATTTTTTAAACTAATGTGATTGCCAATGCTGAAATGCCACTTGAAATATCCAGAGACGATAACATCCACTTAGAAAGCGTTAGGAAATCATGGGCAATTTATCAAAGCCCAAAGGAAACCATAGCCACAAAAATAAAAGAGCAAGAAGTAATCGCAAACTTAGGAATGACCCTTATTAGGTAATATTTCGAATCGAAGATTGAAACCTAACGGCAATTGTACCCATTCTCAATACATTAGATTAAAGCTAATGCTTCGAATCAACTGATTCTTTCTCAGTCTATACATTCAATTATGCATCGACGCCACATCGGAAATCCACGCCAACTGCTAATTACGCGAGCACAAGCGCATCGATCAATGGGTACTCAACGATAACAGCTTAATTGTCAGATTAACGATACGAAATTAATAGAGAAACAAGTTGATTGAGGCAACAATGATCAGATCATGAAAACCAGGGTATAAGATTAAACGTAATCATACAATGATGAACATTGTTGAGATTTCACTTCTTCGTATCAACAATAGTTGCACAGAGAAATCAAACTCAAAACCCTAATTGGTGAAATTTCCCAAATCTCTAAGTCTCTAACCTCCAAAACCGTAAAGAGTCCTACCCTGCCTCTTCAAGGCGTAGACAACATCCATGGCAGTCACGGTCTTACGACGAGCGTGCTCAGTGTAGGTGACTGCATCGCGAATGACGTTCTCGAGGAAGATCTTGAGAACACCACGGGTTTCTTCGTAGATGAGACCGCTGATACGCTTAACTCCACCACGCCTTGCGAGACGACGAATCGCCGGCTTGGTAATACCTTGAATGTTATCCCTCAGAACCTTACGATGACGCTTTGCTCCTCCCTTTCCAAGACCCTTGCCTCCCTTTCCTCTTCCAGACATGGCTAAATTCTCTTGCGTTCTCCTTCTTCTTCCTCTTTCAGACGCCGAGGCCAAACCGCTTGAAAACACTGGTGATACAAACGCGGATGTCTGAGGGGTTATATAAGTCACGAAGATGGATGGTGGATCGTTAGATTAGGTGGCAATCCAAGTGTTGGAGTGCGGTGGCGATTGTGACCGTTGGATTGGGAATCTACGATTGTTATTGGTGGAACATGGTGAGGGAGGATCGGAGGCTTTAAATTTTCGGACCTTTTTTGGTGGGAAACGTGCAGCGCGCATCTTTGCAATTTGGGAGTGCGACGTGGGAAGTTTGGGCAGAACTTTTTGTGAAACCGCGTTTGTTAAATGAAAACTTTAAAAGGCACTCAACTTGGAAATTATTGCCCCCGCAAAAACTAAATATAGCAACACATGAGCCACTAGCCCAAAACCATGGAGAGACTTACTGCAAGGTTCCCCAAAAAACAGAGCAATCCAAACACAATAAAATTTTACGAAATCTAAAATTAAGTTATTTTCATAAAGTGAAATTGGCTTTTAAAAAAAAGAGTCTTCACTCGTCACATGGTGGTTTGGTTCAATTTTTAAAAATTATTTATATATTTTATAACACAAAATTATTTTTTTTTTGGTACCACACACAATTATTTTAATCGTTTAATGTTTACTTTAATATTTAGGGAGAGAGCATATGCATTGACGGACACCATTGAGTTTCCGGCCCAAATCATTGAGTTGGGCCTAAATACATATTGTAATTCAGATACCCAAAAAGAATATTCTGGATCGTTTCTTCTTCTCTTTCTTCTTTCCCAGTATATATTGTAAAATTATTTATGTCAAATTAAATGTGGATGTCACATCTAAAATCACATGGGATGTGATTTGCGCTAATATTAGTTTCATTTTATAAAAATAATTTTACCTTCCCTTTTCTTTTATGATAGAGAATTGAACCATTTATTTTAATTTGTCTATCATCGCATCACACTCCTTGTCACCCTAAATAATACGGCATTCGTACCAAGGGAGAAGAAGAAAAGGAATGACATTTTTTTGAAATTTGGTTTGCAAATAACATCATATAATGATAAATAAAATTTCCTTAAGAAAATTAAATCGACAATCTACACTGAATCCAAATCTCTTGTGGATATATCGTTCTCAATTTTAATGACCTCTTAATTAGCACATCATGCTCCTGTTCTTTTGCCCTTCCTTGAGTTTTCCTTTGCTGGAATTATCCGAATCCTCTTTGCCACCCGCACAAAATCCCTATTATATAATCAATTAAACTCCAGATGCTTAATATATTGTCAAAATCATTAATAACGTTAAATGTTACACTTACATTAAGCTTATAAATAATAAATAATGTGACTCGTTCTAAATTTCCCAGAAAGAACAAAAATATTTATATTTAATTGATAATGACTAATTGTATAAGCATCTTAATCAAAAGGGGGGAAATATCTTGAAAATGGTTTCAGAAAAGATCTACATACATACATATACAACAAACACACACAAGCTAAGTATGAAAAATAATTAAGTTATGGATTTCTCTTTATATGTAAAGCATCTCAATCTTACAAGTCATATAATTAAGAATTTTAATTTTTAAAGGCAGCGCCTAATTAAGTGATGAGCAGGGATTCCCCCAGTTCTAAAGAAGTAAATGATAATTTATCCTGGGAGAGCAACATCTTGTTTGGTAGTGGTTACAAGATGTTGGTATATATATTTAGTATTGACAAACATGTAAAATAATTAAAAAAAACTAGTTGCATTATTTACAAATCAATTTTATACATTGAATTTTTTAACATATAAAATTTTTTTATTAGTTTTGGAGATTAATTCTCACGCCATAATTTGGGGGGAAAAAAATCAACACATTACATGCAAGAAGAAAACCATCAGCCTGGTCTAAATAAAATGTGACGTCAATCCCTTCAATATCTTGGAACTACCCTACACTGTCAAATTAAAATACACTAAATTTAAATTAGCCGATAATTAACATGGATTTGTAGGAAACAAATAATAAATTTACTTCAGCAGTCTAAAATAAAGCAAAAATGAAGAAGTAATAGAAGGAAAACTTACTTCCAGTTGAGGTCGCCGGCAAGAAGAAGATCATTCTCCATATCTTCATAAGCAATAAGATGACCAGGAATGGCATTAGAAAGATCAAGATCGCCGCCGTCATCAGCCGTCGTCAGTCCATGGTCAACGACAAACATCTGGCGGAGAGCCTTGGCGAGGCTGTGGTAGCTGTCGTGGTGGTGGAGGTTGATGCGGTGGCAGATGGAACGGCCCTCCAAGACCACCGTCACGGCGGGGACGACAGTGGCCGCCAGATCGTGGTCGTCAAGCTCAGGGAAGCCACGGAACTTATCGTGAGTGAAGTGGGAAGCATTGTTGATAGGGTTAGCCGAAGAAGAAGAAGGAGATGGAGTTGCAGAACCACCCATAAGATTAATGTTATGATTAATATTTGTCGACGTTGTTATATCTTGCTGATTATATCTCAAGGAGGAAGATTCTCTGTGTGGATCGAAGCTGTTCATGTTCTCTTCTGAGTTTTTTATGGAAGTGAACGAAAAGGCGATATGGTTATGGTTTGGTGAGGTTCAGATTTAAAGTCTCTGAAACGATGTTGGGGGGCTATGGGTTTTGGTGAACATATATATACACACACACGCATATATAACACACACACACACACACGTTTGCACATATATTTATTTACATTGCAGAGAGAAAAACATGTTCGATCACTAATATATCCTTTGTTCATATGTGCGATCTGGATTTCAAAAGTCGTTTCTAAATTAATTAATATGGATTTGCATTATTACCAAGCTCTACAAGCTAAGTGCCGAAGCCGAACCATTTGAACAACTGCCATCGGTATTAATTGTTTTCATAGAGCTAGAATTGCATTTTGTTCCCCCATGGCATTCGAAAGATCATATTTATTACATTTCTCTCATATTATTCTTATGTAAGATTGGTTCATTTTTCAAATTATAGCATATGGATTTAAATGAGAAAAATTAAAAATTTTATTTAATTTTTAAACTAAGTTAATGGGTTTCAATAAGACTCCCGTTAATTTCTGAGGTGATCTGCAGATAGAACACGAGGAAGTATAATGTAATACTAAATAAAAATACTAACTAATGTTTAATTCAGTTGCTGAGAATTTGACTGATAATAATTTACAAAGTAGTCGTTTTAATTTTATCATTGATGTGAAAACTTTGTTGATAAATCATTTGTAAATATTTTTATGCACTCTTTGAATTGGAAAGCATGCCTTAATCTTAATGAATTTCTAAAACCCAACCAATCTAAATTTTTGAAATTAAAAGGCTAAAAAAATATTACTTTATGCTAACTACTTTTTACATTTATATGAGGTTTTTAGGCTGCTTTCTTTTTTGATGATTCTTTAAATTTTTTGTCCAAATTTTGTTTAACATCAATTACTGTATCATGCATTTAAAAGGAAATTAAATAACAAACAAAATTAAATATTGTATGAAGTTGATTTTCTTCTTCTTCTTCTACTCATTTTTTTCATAACCTCTTGATCTCTGGCCTGCTAGTACTCATATCCAAATGCTGCGTCCTATATGGCATTTTTTGGGGAAAAAACTTATTAATATATCTGATTTATAGAGATTGTGTGTTTTTCATAAATTATAAATATTTTTATTCATCCCAAATTTCATATAAATACATTTAGTAATATTAACTAGGAGCAATTTTCCTGTTCCATATATTGTTGAAATTAATTATTCCTATTTGCCGACATATCTCACTTCCTATGGACCAGATTGACTTTTTTAATTAATTTTTTCTAGCCGAATTATGGGCCAAAAAACTGACGACTTCCTATTTATAGTCCATAAATGCTCCTTCATAACGAAAGTCAAAACTACATTATTATCAGCTTTTTAATTAATCAGTTTAAATTCTCAAAGTTTTGCTATATTTATATAATTAAACATTTTATGTTTCCATTGGATTAATCCATGTTCTTCTCATGGTTGATTTATATGAGCAAAAGTTGATTCAGTATTAAAACCCTTTAAATAATACAAGGCACTTTGTAAAAAAAAAATTTTAATGTATAAGTTATCAGATTTTACAATCAGCTGGGCTTTTAAAGAAATATGATAAGTAGTAGGGTTTGGAAATTTTAATTTTAATAAGGATAAGATGTAGGAAGAGTGGATTAAATGGTTCTGGAGCACTCAATAATTTTCCTGGATGTGAAGAAAGAGAGGGGGATGTTTGCTTGTGAGGGAGAAAATAAACTGTTTTTTTTTTGGGCAGTACTTAATGATTTTCTCGAGAAAAACAATTAATTAATGAATGAAAACTAGGAAATTCACAGAAGTGCACTTATCTAGGGTAGGTCCAGTTTTGAAGATGCAGTTGAAAATAAAAATTTGCATAGGGACGATCATTTATTTATGCATCCATATATAATGCGTCAAGAAAAAGCAAGCTATGGATACAATACTCTTTTCGGTTCCTATTATAGAATTCAGCTAATTCACATCAATCAAGTAATGACATTATGATTCTTTTAAATCAGTTTTCAATTCATAAAATTTATCAACTAAATATTCCTATCAATAAAATTTTGAAGTAGAGGAAAAATATGAAAAAATCTAATTATGAATTAATAATAAGGACAAAACTAATGACAAAGTATTAATTACTATAGTATATATGGACCACAGAATCTTATTTGAAGGTACTCTATATGCGTATGTAAATTTTAATTATTTCAAGTAGTTGTAAAAAAGTCAATTTATCTTAATAATCCCTATGTCTCATGCAAGTTGAAAATTTGGAACTACAACGTAATTGTTATCTATGCTTAACTTTTTTGTCCAGCGCCTAAAAGTTTAAGTGAGATAAATCTTGAGAGCTTACTAGAATCAAAATATGCTTTCATGTGTAAAGAAAGCTTATAAAGATATTTATAAATCACCCATCAGTAAAATTCTTATATTGGTAAGAAGATTTGAACTCATAATTATTTAAATTATGAGTCAACTTTTTATCAATTGTACAACATCTAATGAGTTAATGCTTAACTTTGTTCCTCACTTGTTGGTGGCCAAAAAAACTTTATCCCCCACTCGATGATCCTCATTTAATATAAAAAGTTTTTAATGAAAAGCAATTTGAAAATATGTCTTGAAATACATCTGAAATTTAGTTGTTTTTTTTTCTCATTAAACAAACAATGTGTAGGATTTGCCTAATAACACTAGAAAAACATATGGAGTGTGTGTGGAAGTGTGAAGAACATAAAGAAAGGTTAAGACAACCTTGAAAGTTGAAGTGTGGCATAGCGTTGCGGTCGCCGGAAGGTTTGGTGCTTTTGATGAATCCCAAGTCATCGTGTTTCTTCCATGTTTTCTCACTTCCTCATTGAATTCTCCACCAAATAAAATTGCATATCTTTGCTGTCGAACCACATTCACTCACAAGAAAAAAAAAATACTTCTGAAGTTATTAATCACCATTTTTCAATTTTATCTATTGTCAACTTCTATTAAAATTAAAGAGAGAAACAGTAATACTTTCTCGTATTCTTATTATAAGTTTCAAATAATTAATTTACGGATATCGAATTGTTAGTTAAAATTAGTTAAAAGTAATAAATAAGTTAGAAACACCATATTATTTTCAAATATGCCCTTATAATAAGTGAGAAAAAAGAATAAAAGAAAATGTACAGGAGAATGTGATAAGAGAGAGTATGATAAAAAAGATAACATTAATAATTAAGGGAAAAATCAGAAAAATGCATTAAATGTTAAAACAAATTACATATTGAAGCTTATAAAATAGACTCCACTCTCCAAATTTAAAGTTTATAAATAGAACTAAGGAAGTAATTTGTAAATCTATAGAGATAAAATTTTAATAAGAGCAAATGTGAAAAAAAAAAATTCTATCAATTCAATTCGATGTCGCTTATAAAATTTCAGGCTGTTAGTATCTTTCTCTCTGATTCAAATATACATATATACCCCTCATTAATTGTAAGTACAGGAGTGTTTATAGTTATTTTAATTTGCTGATGTTGGTGAGAGATAAGCTGTCAATATCTCTACAAGAGGCCCTTGGGATTTAGGAACTGCTTCTGCCATACTCTGTGTGTGTGTGTGTGTGTGAAGAATTCTGGAAAGGCGTGAGAGTCTTGCAAACTGGTTTGGTTTTGAATGTGTGTATGAGGTTGATAATTTCAAGGTGGCAATTTTCAAGGATTAATTAACTATAATAATTAGTTGGATTTTACTGACTTTAACACCCCGCGCGCGTGCACACATATATATTTTACCCTACCATATGCTCCCGTTCACATTTAATTACAACATGTAAATAGAAAAATAGTACTCTCTCCTTCTTCTTTTTTTATAAGTTTTAAATAACTGAAATATGTTGTCTAAAAAATTTGTTAACACAATCATAAATGTGTAAGAAACCTATGATTTTTTCCTTCAAATATACTCTTATTTTTAAGAGGGCGTGTGAAAGAGAGAAATAGTGAAAAAATGATTAAAAAAACATATAAAAGAAAGCTAATTACTTAAGATTAAAATTAATAAAAATGTGTTTAATATCCAAACAATCCCGAAATGTATCCTATTAAAAAAATAAACTAATTCAAAAAATTTAGATCTTATAAAAAGAAACAGAAGTAATATTAATCCAATACATAAAAAAAATTGTGAAAATTTTCAAATATGTAGTTGTCATTTTGGCAAAAGTTTGTTAAACTAATTATAATAAATTAATTATGGAGAAAAATAGCAAATGCTCTGGATATTCTCTTTTTTCCCCCTAATAGCATAAAGTTCTAGATACTCTTAAATTGTATTTATATTTGAATCAAATCAAGTCAGGAGGAAAGAATTTATACAGGGGAGTAGAGGAGTACGTTTATACCACTTTTTTACACATTTGGTCAACAATAGTTAGGCAAGATTTTATGGTATATGCGTATAGACATAGTAACTAGTTAGTTAAAAATACTGCACACCAACTCGCCATAGACGGTGCCTACTTTTGCATTCTATCTGCGGGTTTCTTTGAAAAAGGTTTGCTCACTTATGGGAGGTATTTTTTGGGTATGCACTATCTTTAGTCCTTAGTATAAGATTTTGTTTGATTTTTATTTTGGTCCTCAATATAAGACCCTAATCCATTTTGTCTCTCATATTTATACATTTTTTTAAGATAGTCCTTCTAATAATAGTAGTTCTAACCAATCCGTTTGATTAGCAAAGATATTTTAGGAAAGACAACACCTATTTGTTACAAATAATTAATTTAACTTATTTTCTTAATTTTCTCAAATTAGTCAACTAGCTCTTATAATTAGGACGGGAGGTAGTATTATATACTCACTCACACACAATAAAATATTCTCCTAAAGCGTAGGTGATATCTCTAAATTATGAAACTTTACCATACATTTTTTAAATTTTAAATTTATGTAAATTTTTCTGGGTATTATATATAATATTCTCTTAAATTTATAGACCTGATTTCATTTTCTACACTAATGAGGATTAACCAATGAACCAGGGAATAGGGAAATCAGCTAGCGAATTAATAATGGTTTAACCAGTGAGGACGGGTTGAACATCCAGCCTTTTGTAGCAACGATTAAAGGAAGAAAAACCATGAGGTTTCAATAAAGGAATACAACACCAACAAGTTCCACAGTAAATGAGCATCACGTAATGATAAGTTTCAATACAAAAAATAATAATAGGTTGATGGTGCTCATTTATTATTGAGGACTTTTTGATGATCGCATCATGTCTCAAAATCTTATAGTAATTTTCTCATGATTAAAAATACTTTTACATGATCAACGGGTATTGTGTGTGATGGAAATTGCTAGATTCGAATTTATATTGAGAGGTAGTTACATTTAGTGTCAAATAATACTTTAAATAAGAGTATGCATGCGCTTAATAAAAAGAATACTTACACATGGCAACAATGTGTGAGGCCCATCTGACATAGGGTCCACTTAGATTAGCGATTTAAAAAGTAGTTTATTATCAATTTGGCTTATAAAAAAATAAAGTTGGGTAAAAGCTAAATTAGATAAACTGAATAATGTTTGGATTGAAGTTCAGAAAAATTACTTTGAAAAAGTAAGATTGGTAAAAGGTTGTTTGGATTATAGTTGAGTAAAAGTAAATTTAGTTGTAAAATGACCAAAATAGATATGAGTTTTAATAAATAATGAAACATGATTAAAAAAATGATTTCACTTAATATAATAAAATTAAAATAATTTAATATGAAGAAGTCAAATTTAATAAGTGAATTAAATTTTAAAACTTTAGAGAAATTATAAAAAATATTTATAATAACAAGCTTCTTTTGATTCTAAATATAATACCTTAATCTATTTATCTCTTAAATTTATAATTTTTTTCTTAAAATATCTCTATTAGCTATATATAACTTGAGAGAAAGCAAGACATATTTATTACAAATATGTAATTTAATTAATTTTTTAATATTTATAATTTATTTATTTATTTTTTTATATTACTTTTTTTTAATAAAGCGTCAATTTTATTCAAAAAGTAAATGAAAATTTTATATGAATAAATCGGGCAATCACATTCTATTAATTTTATCATAAATTATCAGGCATTTTCATTGTAATATTTCATTCTCACGTGGTGCGTGTTTTTGCAACTACACATTTTTTTATTAAAAAAGAATGCTAATAAAAATGCATCCTGACGTATTGGCTGAACACCCAAACCCTTCATGTGCCTTGTTTTGTTTTGTTTTGCTCCGATCTCTCCAACACCAGTGACTTTAAATTATGGATGGCCGAACTCAGAAAAAAATAAAGCCTGACACATCACAACGATAAATAAACTCCAATCGACGATCCAATAACACAGATCTAGTAGCTTCTCCCACAACGTACGTTTGTCAGTTTAAATTAGATAAGCTCATTTTGGATTTAAGTCCAACCAAACACCAAGTGATTTTCCAATCGAACTTGTAGCAAAAATAAACTACTTTTCAACCCATAAAAGCCCTACCAAGCAGGCTCACCTTCAACTTTGTTTAGTGCTTTCTTTAATTTTGGGTTCGGTTGCTCTGCGTTCTAAATTGCTGGGGGGAATATAATTGCCTTGCCTTATTGGATACTGTAGGTGATAGATTTGTACTTGAAGCTAAGGAAATAAACACCTTTCAAGTATCAATCACAGCCAAAATCAATAATGATCAGAGTCCGATTCAGAAAAGTGACCATCATCATGCTTTAGATCTTCCAAATCTAATGATTCTATGGTTGAAGAAAATGATGGAACTTTTGAACTTAAATTATGAGGGTTGTTGGGCACGTGATCCATCGCCAGATCGGTCTTAATCAAGTGATCTAAAGTAAATGTAATTTGTCTTGTTTTAATTTTCTGCATTAAAAAATATGATTTTTGACTGCTGCATTAAATAATGAATCGAACGATAACTAAACTGAGAGAAATTAATAGTTATAAGATTTCATCTGTGAACTACAAACGAGATCTTATAATCAGGAACGAAGATAGTACATTAGTAATTTTAATGATTAATAAGAAATGACACTAATAATAATAAACCGATGTAATATAAAGAAATTTGCGCTAATTACAGGGGGCGATGATTTTGGAGGCTCAGACGATAGGAATACACGAAAACTGGATCTGGATTACATCATTATGTATGAAAGTGACAGGAGCAAAAAGAATTTTTATGAAGATAATGAGAAAATAATCATAGAGTTAGCTGCTGAGAAAAAGTAACAAGCACAAAATCCCTTTTTAGTATCCCATATTACTCCTTCAAGCTTCTTTTTTTCGTTTTTGTTTCCCTTGTATCACCACACATCACGCAGATACCTGCCAGTCACTTGTAGGTCCTTTACAAAACTCTCAGCCTTGGAACCTTCCAGAGAGCCCTGAAATTCACAGACCAAAGAGCCTGATTAAGCCATGGACAGCAAAAAGGCCCAAGGGACATTTATAAGAATGATATCTGAAGCGAAGGATAAAACTTGAAAAGCACATATTAAAACCCTCTAGCCAGATTAGTCAACTAACTCTTGTATTAAAGTATTAAGAAACAGGACTTGTATCTGAAAATCAGAATCTATTCTTATAGGCATACCTGCTCTTGTGCAATTGTGTGGAGAGTGCGGTGTACATCCTTAGCCATGCCTTTGGCATCACCACAAACATATATATAAGCTCCTTGAGATAGCATGTTCCAAATATCTGGGGCCTGAACGCAGTAAAGGATTGTTGGCTCAGAGGTTAAAACATAAAAAGTTTGAGAAAGATGTGCTGGGTTTAAAAGAGACTTAATTACCTTCTCCATCATTTTATGCTGCACATATTCCTTGTTGGGTCCCTCCCGTGAGAAGGCGACGATGAGCTCAGAAAGTGAACCGCTGTTAACAAAGTGGTTCAACTCGTCTTCATAGATGAAGTCCTAATAAGAAAATGCAACACATTAAAAATTTAATAACCCAAACATGCCAAACAGTTCCAGCACCTAGGAAAATAAAATTGGATCCTTTATGTCTAATATGTAGTCATTCATTTAAGAAGAGGGTAACAAGAAAGAGTGTACATTTATGCAAGATGTACTTTCCTTCTTTACAACTATTCTCTCTTTTCTCTCTTTCTTTCTTTCCATGCATTACATGCTGTCACAAAAACAGTCATAAAAGGCATGAAGGACAGAAGATAAGTTACCATTTTCCTGTTGCGGCATCCAAAGAATAGAACAGATGGGCCTAGTTCCACTCCCTCTTGTTTCAGAGCCAATCTTTCCTGCAAGAAACCCCTGAAAGGAGCCAATCCAGTGCCAGGACCAATCATGATTATAGGCACTTCAGAATCTGCAGGGAGTCTGAAATTGGACTGCCTAACGAATACAGGAGCCCAACTGCAGTTCTGGCTCTCCTCCAATGGCACTGAGTTCTGAGCAACAAAAGAAAACAAATTGAAAATCCCAGATAATATTTCACAATACTAATTCCAGATAAAAGTTCAAGGGCAATAGAGTTCAGTTTATTGTTGTAATAGGAAGTGACATAATGAGGACCTCACAATTCAAGTGGCCTTAATCAGGGAAGCTTGTACAATATGAGTACCTTTATCCAAGTTGAAGCGACTCCTTTATGCATCCTTCCAGTGGGCATTCTATCATAAACTAATGCACAGGTAACATGGATTCTGGATGGGGCCATTCTGTGGATGATTTTTGCATACGGTTAGCAGTTGGCACAACTCAGTTTCAGGAAAATGACACAAATCACAAAGCTTAATTTCCCCTTTAGCTTGTTGTAGAATGCGTAATCAAAGTGATTATTCTGAAACTTACATGTGTACAAATACCCGTGTAACTGTGATTAAAGTAATCAAAGAATACAAGGCTTCGCTAGCTGATTTCTCTATGTGCCAAGAAACCTACATGTGGACACATAGCCAAGTAATTGTAGTTACAGAAACTAACCTAGGAGACGATGAGATAGAATAATATCTTGGCTGCAGGCGAGGAGCAACAGCTGCGAAAAAGACACCAGGTGATGGTTTGGCAGATGGAAATGCAGCCATGACCTCAAGGAGACTTCTTTGGCTGGCAATCACCCACTCTGCATATTCATCCTGTGCATGAAAAGACAAAATAATATCCAAATTAGAATTAGAAATATGAGCACGTTAAGATAATTCAACTGATACAAAATGTTACAACCTTTCCTGCAGGAGAGGCAAGATGTACAAGCCGATCAGCTTCAGATGGATCCGAAGCGTGGGCAGCTAATGCAAGTAAGGCGGACTGGAATGCATGAGAGTTATTAGTAAGTAATGTGAAGATGAGTCTTAATAAGGAAAAAGTGGCAAAACGTGCAATTGGTGATGCATCAAACTCAAAACAAGCACCTTTTTTGGTGAACTCAAAAGATCTGCATATCGAGCCAGTGCTGTTCTTAAAGTGCAGGGAGGGAAGGGAGGTGGCAATGAGCCATCAAGTGGTGTCCCATCTTGTTCAGTAGTATGGATGGAAAAATACGTATCTGGTGACAGACCAAGTAATCCTAACGCTTCTTCCACAGTTTCAGATAAATTCTCACAGTAAACACCTACATGATCCCCTGTTTCATATCTATGAAACAGCACATGCACAAGAACGAGTCAGTACATAGCATATGAACAAGTGTTTTTATTGATTATATTTCACAAAGAGATGCTTACCTAATTCCAGTGCCAGAAATATCGAATTCTAGATGAGTGCAAGAACGATCTGATGCAGGAGCATGAAGCTCCCTTCTCACAGCCACATTAGATCTTCATGTGGAGTAAGTAATACATATCAGCTGAAAGTAAGATACAACTCCAAGTTACAACTGAAAAATCTTCTCTAACATATACCTGCAGGGATGTTGAGCATCAACAACAGCATGACCATTTGCTTTAAGACTGATTTTCTCCTCAGAAGGTACATTTGCTGGATCATGAATCACAACCCGATACTCCATCACAGTAGCAGCATATGGGGTAGATGCAGTTTTACCATCCTCATTCCCCAGCAACTGATCCAATTCTGGCCACACCAATTCCTTCCTGCAATAACAATAATTATCAAGGAAGGAGGACACTTCAGTACCAACAAGGACGACTGATCCACTTTAATATACTCAAATAAACTGAACATTTCAATACCATGCATTGAAATCATCCTCTAAGCATTTATCATCATCTCCAAGACCCGTTGAGACCAAACGCTTCCCACCTGCAATTTCCTTTCAGATCAGATTGGGGGTAATATATACAAAGGAGAATGAAAAAACAGTACCAACAACTCAAAAATACTAGACTCAAATGCCTGAGAGTAGAAGGAACAGATAATATCAGTTGAGTGTTTCTTTATATATGTATAAAAAAATTGTCTTGAACCATGTTCATGCCTAAAAAGGATGGATTCAACAAATCAGAAAGATTTATAGTTTAACAAGTAATGCAGTAATACTCTCACTATAACCTTTCTATATGTATCATCCAAATGACCATCCTCCTTGAAGAAGTCACAAAATTAATAAAATTAGAATAATTCCCAGACAAATTCCTCAAGCAGCAAAAGGAATCAATAGAATACCTTGCTCAGCAAGCTTCTCATCGATCACCTTCGCCACCTTTTATAATGTGAATAAGCATGAGACCAAGATATTAGCAATGACCGCATATTTGGAAAGTAAAGCAGAAAGGAACTTGAAAGTACGAGTAAAACCCAAACCTTGTTGAAGTGTTCATATTGCCTGTTCCCAAGGCCAAACACAGCATACTGAAGATTTTGAAGCCATTGTCCCTTATCTTCTCCCTAAAATTCGAGCAAAAAAATCAAGATATAATCAAAACTTTCTGCAATTAATGATCCGTCCATTGAAGTTACAGAAATTCAATTCAAATTTACCTCTACAAACCATTTATAAAATCTTGCAGCATTGTCCGTTGGTTCACCATCCCCATATCTGCACGATCTCCAACAGGTTAAATTACCGACAGTGGGAAGGAGCAGAAAACAATTTGAAGAGAAAGAAAAAGAAGAAAAACTTACGTAGCCAAGAAAAAAAGTGCCAATTTCTCGTTTTTCAACTTCTCCTCGTACTCATCGTCATCGGCGGCATAATCATCCTGCTCATCACCATAACCCGACCATAAGCATCAACACATGCATGCACGACTAAAAACCCGGTAACAAGAAGGAAAGCATTTTTAATCACAGAAAGCAGATAGTACCAAATCCACAACTTTAAACGTCGCCTTCTCGTATCGCACTTTTGCTTCATTCACTAGTGCCTGCCCGTAACACGAGCTTTAATTAGCACAATTTAACTGAATACTCCAAAAATCATAGCTCACCCACACACAAAATTTATTAAGCCTACCTTGGCAAACCCTTCAGCTGTGCCAGTTTGCGTGCCAAAGAAGACGGTGACCTTTGTCTTCCCATCGTCGACCTCCCCCTTCTGCGCCTCAACCTCCAACGGTTTGGGTGGCACGACGGGCTTCCACTTGGAACTCTGGGATCTCCGCCACATCAAGACCACCACACACCCAATCAAAACCGCTATGGAAGTGGTCAAGACCACCACGTAGTTCCGATTCCGCAATATCATGGAAACCACCTCGTTGGATGTGTCTAACTTACCGTCGATAATCGCCGAGATGATATCCATAGCACTGGGTTCCATGGTATTTCAATGAAAAACAACGGGAGAATATGAGATCAATGGAGCAGGAAGAGTTTGGGAATATGAGTGAAACGCGAATCGCAGAAGATGAAGAAGAAGAAGAGAGGAGGTTGAGAAAACCACGGAAATGAGTGTGAATTGGAGATTTACAGAAAGAGAGAAGTTTATATTGAGAGGGAAAAGTGCGACACAGAACAACGCCTACCAAACCAGACTAGTCAAACCACCTAATGCCGCGCCTTTTCAACCATTCCTTTTCTGTCCCACCTTTCCTTTTCTCTTCTCTGCATCAGAAAATGAAAAAAGATTGAAACTTGATTGAATTGAAAGCATCAAAACTTGGAAACCTGTTTCAAGATTCATTCTTTTCATCGTCATTATTAGTATTATTTAAAAGCAGAGTCAACCCCAGCTTTTGTATCTCATTTCAGAGATGAGAATTTGAAGAGAAGTTTCTCTGTTTGATGGAGGGTCAACTGTGCTCTATTTTTTAGGTATTTTAAAAACAGATGTAACTTAATTGTTTTTTTTTTTTTGGGTTACATATAACGTACAGTGAATTTTATCATGCATGACGTGATTGATTGTACCTAAAATAATTTAAAGAATTTAATAACTAATATTAATGATGAATTAATATCTTAACAATATGTTGCCTAAATTGAAAACGAAACATAACCAAAAATGAGAGCCGAATGAATCGAAGAAAAGGACATTATCTAAATACATAAATGCGTGCAAGGATCGTACGCTCATACACCTAATTATGGTAGGAAGAAAATCTTGCCATATATTTTTTTCTGAAATTGATATGGTCGAAATATTTACTATTTATGATTTTAATATTTTTCAACCAGAAATTTAGGATCCAGCCTTCATGATTTGTGGCGGGCTATCAATGAATGAAATTATGACACCGTAATAAATTGAACCCAAACAGGGATTCATTGTTTCTCATGTTCATAATTAACGTGAATAATTTTTGTTCTCTCTCTTCGTCCTTTTCCCAGTTTTTTTGGCGGACCCCAACAGTCATTATTTTTTTAAGGAAAAAAAAAGTACAATAGAGTAATTTCCAATAATTTCTGTTTAATTTAGCAAATGTATATATAAATATAAAACCCATTTTATAATATAATTTACGTTATAAAATATGTTTTATATTTATTATTAGAAAAGCATTATTTATTCAAAAAAATTATTAGAATACTACTTTCAATTTTTAATGTAATAACTAGATAACTAATTTATGAATATTAAAAAAATAATTAAATTAATTTTTTGTAATAAATTACTATTGTTTTTTTAAGATGTCACTGTTAATCATATGTATGAAATTATCTTTTAATACAAACCCTTTAACATGTGTAATCATTATAAAGACTATTAGAGGACAAAATGAATAAATATTAGAGACTAATCAAATTAAAATTTTATATTTAGAACCAAATTGAACTTCTCGTTACTTTTTATATTAAATATTAAATAGCCAAGCTAGTACAACCCTAACAATAAAATGAAGAATAGGAAAAAAAAACCAATTAAGGGTAGGAATTGGCGTCATGACCAGGTCATTTTAATTACCAAAATGCAAATAAAGTATGTTTGGTCCATTTATCAATTATACTTTGCTAGTAGTATTATAAATATTCAAAAAAATTATTTATTTTTGGGTGCATGGATGATGGAACAGTTGGAAAAAGTGTGAAAGACGGCATTGTACCGTACTATGAATCGTTTGGATTCAGTGAATCCTTTTTTGTTTTTTGGGACTGAGGATTCAGTGAATCTCGGTGCAACAGGCAAGGTTTTGAATATCTTGATATGTAAATCTGGACAAATTAAGAGGAGGATTCTCATATTCTAGATATGGTAAATGAATAAATACTATTTTCAGTGTTTATTATAAAATTTTATTTAATTTTTATTTTGGATCTAAATATAAGACCCGGTTTATTTTATCTCTTAAATTTATTTATTTTCTTTTCAATGTAGTCCTTGCAATAATAAGTGCTAGTCAATACACTTAATTAGTCAAGATATTTTAGAAAATATGATACTTATTTATTATAAATAACTAATCTAATTAAATTTTTTTAATTTATTTAAATTAGTCAACTAACTCTTATATTAAAGATCAGATGTACTAATAAATAACTGGTTTTTAGGTTTGAAGGGAGGACCGAGACATGGGAAAGATGATGATTATGATAATAATTAATGAAATGGTCCATTCATGAGCACTTAGAAACAGCCAAACTTGGCCTTTTCTTCCTCACACGACCTCAGCACTAACCTTCTCCACATAATTAGTAAATTTTTTATTAATCAATCTTAATTTTAAACGTTAGATCCCACGTCAAATAAGAAGAAACAGCGTGTCCCGATTATTATTATTATTCAATCAATTAGAACAGCAGTGTAATTGTTAATATGATAATTAAATAAATAATATTTATATGCATATAATATAGGGAAAACTAATCTGACAGTCCTTATAGTTTGATCATGTTTTGAATTGAGTCCTTGTAGTTTTTTTTCTTTTTATTGAAGGGAAAACTAATCTAACAGTCCTTATGGTTTTATCATGTTTTGAATTGAGTCCTTGTAGTTTTTTTCCTTTTTATTGAATCCTTAATGTTTGCACCGTTAATAATTCCACTCCTTACTGTTAATAAAGCCGTTAGTCTAATTGAGGATGGATGATATGGCATATGAACCTTTCCTCCCCCTTAGTTGACCTCCTTTAGCTTCTCTCTCTCTTCCTCCTTCACTCAATCTACCTCCGTTCCGCACCACTATCTGTGTGCAATTATCCCTTCCACCCTCACCGCTCTTTCTCCCTCCTTATAACTTCTCCACCACCCCCAATTCTCACTTTCACTTCCTCTCAAAATAAAAAATCGGAATGAGAGAGGTGCAATGAATTCCGTCTTCCCTTCTTCCTCCCTCTGCTGCTTTTGCTGATGCTTACGTAACGTTGCAGAAGAAGAAGACGCCCAAAAGTCATGACAACATCGTTCTTCTCTTTTGCTTGGCCATCACTTTTATGGGCTTATTTTTAAGGAATTCAAGTCATGCATTTCTCAGATGCAGAAATAAATCCACACTACCACAGAGACCAAAAAATAGACACATGTCAAGCTATGATTTGAAACAAATTATTGTCACCATCATCATCCTAAATAAGCACAAATCGTCCAAAGTGTTTCATATAAGAAACCATAGAAACAGCAAGACTCTGACTGAACATGATGCAAAAAAATTCTCTAAGCTTTGGGCAACTGGCTTCATGGCTATCACTATCCGATTGTCATAATTCAAACATCCCAGAAGGATCATGTTCTAAATGGAAGACCTGACTTTAAGAGAAATGAAAGAATCACCACGATAATAACATCATAATAGTTATGCGGGAGCGGAGGTGGACCGAGAGGAGGAGGGAGGGAGAGAAGCTAAGAGAAGTTGACTGAAAAAGACGATGACCTCAAATGCCACGTCATCCATTAACGGCTTTATTAACAGCAAGGACTGATATTATTAACGGTCTAAAGATTAAGGATTCAATAAAAAGAAAAAAAACTACAAGGACTCAATTCAAAACATGATCAAACTATAAGGACTGTCATATTAGTTTTCCCTTTTAAAAATCGTTCCAATTTTTGGTGTAGTTCTGGGTCATCGCTTAATGGTGGTTCAACAAGTATGAAAATGATTTTTTATTTTTTATTTTTACTAAATACAGTTATTCTCCTAGCAGAAAGTCAATCCGCTCCGAGACACTGTCAGATACTAAATGTAAATATGAGTACCTCTCTTAACAGGAATTCAAAATTTGATTTCTTACATTATGAGTTACTAGCTCTTTCCACTAGACCCAACTTTTATTTTTAAACCTAAAACAAGTTGTCAGCGAGTCAGTCAACAATTGGATTGTTGGATCCGGCCTTTTCTTAATCACTAGATGTAACTTTCTATACATTTTTTTAACCTCATTCCATGAACGGCATTTTGCAAAAGAAAAATTGATGAGGGCGCTGATTGTATGGTCCTAATTGTAGAATGTAGGGAAAATGTATGAAAAATTACAACAAGCTTTTATATAATTTGCACTAAATTCACTCACTGCCAAAGAGTTATGGGTTGGGTCTTACCCACTTTATTTAAAATAATTTTGACGTGCCCTTGGCACTTAAAAAATTCAGAATTTGGAACATCAAACGAAAACAATCGTTGGGCAATGTTCCAATTTCCATGGATCTCCCGGAAAGGTCCTTGATCAAAAAATAAAATGCCGTCCTTTTTCTTTGACAGATGGAATAAGAAGCCCTTTTTTTTTGGGGGTACATATAAGCCTTATTTTTAAAATATGCCTTTGATGTAAGGAACCAAGGCCCAACAAGTGGCCCAGAAAAGATGTGAAACTTTCCTTATGGTTTGGTGCAAATGCAGTGATATCCATTGTCCGTACCGTATCCTCTCACCCAAAACAAATGGGTTCGATTCCTTATCGCAACGCCTGGGGAGACATTCTAGAATGAGGAGTATCTAGATTCGTGCTTGAGAGTATATTGTAAGTTCGTCTTAGACAGTCGGAGCTATTTAGGCGCTCCGCTCTTGATTTGGATTAAGGGCCTGTTTGGGTGTTCTAAAACTATGGTTTCAGAAGCACTTTTCCGTAAAACGAGATAACCTCCTCCACATATTTACTTCGTAATCCGTAAAAGCACTTCTGAAACTATGGTTTGGTTTCTATCCAAACACTTCCTAAGTCTGAATTGCTGCTTAAAATTGTGTAACAAGAAAAAAAAAGAAGATAAATTAGTACTATTATTACAATCTATCTCCTTAAGGGAGAATAAAAAAAACACTTTTGAATTTTAAAATTTCAAATTAGTTTTGTTTACTACATTTTAAGAACAATTAAAATTACTTAAAAAATAAATGACAACATGTTTTTGTTGTCATTCATGATTTGAGTTTTTAAAATTTTAGAGGTGTTTTTTTTAGATTTTTTCTTAAAATAAAAACTTTCACTGAAAATACAAAGCCCTCTAACTAACAAGAACTTTAATCCTATCTTTGAAATGATGTAGAGAAAAAAGGCAGGAGGAAGAACAAACTAGGTGACATTATTCCTTGAATTTGTACCACATTATTTTGCAGTGGCATTCAGTTAAAAGCACTTCAGCAAATAGAACCTTCAAGTTTCAATTACAAAACCAGCATGTGCACATGGGCCATAACTACTCTCACCTTTCATAAAAAAACTTCAACCTCACTTCATAGTTCTCATACAAATAGTATCAACTACCTAAAAAGAAGAAAAATATTTTCTAATTAAACGCACATACAAATAATAATTCTCTCTAAATTATGCATCAAAATCCTATAAACTGACTATTCAATACATTCATATTTGTTATGACCAAGTCTATTGACACACTAATATGTTTGGCAATCAGTTGATTCGGATTAAAACATGGTTGATGAAAATGATTCTACTTCAAATACCTAACACGCTGTAGTAAGAAGTGATGAAATAAAATAATCAACTACTAAAAAGATAATTGCATAAAGATAATCACATATGAGACAGCAAAACACATCAGATACCAATTTATAGAAGAACTTACAAAACAAAACATATAATTCTTTGATGCTAATACTACCTTAACAAACGACTAAATTAGAGCCTCCAACAATTTGAGGAAGAACAGGATACAACAACCAACTTTCACAATAATATTAGAATAATGGCTATAAATCAAGACAGAGATATGCTAAGAGAGCCAACTCTAATAAAAGTAACAACCGATATCTGCTAAATGATGACTGGAATAAGATAAACGTGACTATAAACAATTTGAATATCTAGTTACATGCTACCTTTGGTCCTTAATATAACACCTTGTTTGATTTTTATTTTGGTTCTACATATAAGATCACAATCCAATTTGTCTCTCCTATTTATATACTGCCTCTGGTTTTAATTATAAGAGCTAATTGACTAATTTGAGAAGATTAAGGAAATGAGTTAAATTAGTTATTTGTAATAAATATGTATTGTCTTTCTTAAAATATCCTTACTAATTAAGTAAGAGCTAGCTGATTAATTTGAGAAGATTAAGGAAATGGGTTAAATTAGTTATTTATAATAAATATGTATTGTCTTTCTTAAAATATCTTTACTAATTAAGTAAGAGCTAGCTGATTAATTTGAGAAGATTAAGGAAATGAGTTAAATTAGTTATTTGTAATAAATATGTATTGTCTTTCTTAAAATATCCTTACTAATTAAGTGTATTAGCTATAACTACCATTATTATGAGGACTATTTTGAAAAAAAATACATAAATATAAGAGACAAAGTGAATTGGGGTCTTATATTTATGATCAAAATAATAGTCAAACAACGTCTTATATTACAGACCGAAAGTAGTATTTTTCTTTTCAAGGTAGTCCTTTGAACAATAATAGTTATAACCAATAAACTTGATTAGCAAGGATATTTTAGGAAAGACAACATTTATTTATTACAAATAACTAATTTAACTTATTTCCTTAATATCCTCAAATTAGTCAACTAGCTCTTATAATTAGGATCGGAAGTAGTACTAAAATTATTTTTCAAATTTAATTTTTTTATTAGTTTTGAATTTATAAGGTAAATAAGCCAAATTGCCTAAAACCACCTATCTGAATAAAATCCACTTCATAACTGAAAATTATGAACCAATGTGTATGTCGCAAGAAATATTGCTTATTAGTCATGGCACGTATCTCCAAATGCCACTTTTATGTAATTCCCTACTGCCTGCAACACTATCAAGCAATATGTATGTTTATCTCTTCTATGTAAGATTCTTAGCTAATGTCAGCTCAATTCACTCTGTACTTATCAAGCAATATGCATATTTATCTCTTTCTCGAACAACACTATCCAAAGGTAGAATACTGAGACTTTTTGTGTATAAAAATTTATCAGGTTTTCTCACTAATAAAATTTTTAATGAAAAACTTTTTCTCAATTTTTTCCTCACCCAAGACAGTTGGAGCATTATTTTTTCATGAATACTCATGCAATTCTATGTTCATTAAATTAATTAGAATTTTGTTCAAAGCATTGAGTTGATATTTTAAAAATGGGGAGAGAAACCTTCCAAAGCAAGTTCGTAGAGTCAAAGGAATCTATCCCATGGTATTGTAGGCTGTGGCTACCTATGGTGTTGTCGGGAGGCAAACCCCTATATCAGCCTGTAATCTCAAGCCAACAATCTTTCTGCATTTGGCAAGAAATTATGAACTGTGTTGAAAATTTGATTTTAGTCGTGCTTATACTATAATTAGATATTATAATCAATAGAATTAGGTTTATCTGAAGGAACTAATTTCTCATAAAATAGCAAATCAATATTTAAATCTTCGATAGAAAATGTGTTCGCATTTAATACTTCACAATGCCTTAAATAAGATTATTTATAATAGAAAGATACTTATGCGTAGTAAAAAAAAAAAGATATTAGATGTATTCAAACAAAAATAATTCCCCATATTATGTTATTACTATGTTCTGTCCAACGCCATTTGCAATTTGCAAATCTCTTAATAAAACATATTACCTCCAACCCTTAATATTAAATCTAGTTTGACATCTAATTTGATTATAAATGTAAGATTTTAATATACTTTGTTTCTTATATTTATCTAATTTTTTCAAAATAATACTTATAGTAGTTGTATATGTTAAAAATATCATCAAATAATTAGTTTTAATTAATATACATTGTTAATAAAGATATTTTTAAAAAATAATATTTATTTATTATAAATAATTAATTTAATTAATTTTTCTAATCCATCCAAATTAATTAACGGAGGAATCGTTGTTTCCACGGCCTAAGCATACAATTGAAGCCAAACACTCGACCCCACCTGATTGCTACCAAATTCCTGTCCTCAACCGTCACTTCCTTGACGAATCCGTTAACATTATTTCCCTCTATTCCTTTTGCTTTTGCATTTGTTTCCGTGTGTATATATGTTCATTTCGCATATTTCAAATTTTCACAGCGCTTAGATCTATGCAATCCACGCTCAGTTTCACAGACAGAAAGAAGACGAAGAAGAAAACTCGCAAACACAATGTCTGCCATTGACGGAGGTTTCGATCTTCGGGTAATCTGAATTCTTTCATGCCCAAGTAATGTTGTGCTTTTCTTTTTCGCTAACTCATCCTTCGCTTTTCGCAGCCGTCTTCTCAGTCTTCTTCCACAATCGAGTGAGTTTTCCTCCCAATTCATTCACCCGTTGGGTTCTTTGTGTTTTTCACCTTCTAAAACATCTCTCACTGTATGTCGCGCTCGTTATATAGTGAGTACACCTTTGCCGATGCGGGGAATTTGGAGCACTGCGCCAAGTATTTGAACCAGTCTCTTGTTACGTTTGGGTTTCCAGCTTCTCTGGATCTTTTCGCGAATGACCCTGTGAGAATTGATTTGTGATACTTTTGAGTTTATTATAAAATCGGGGAAAAAGAATAAAGAGATTTTCCCTCTCATTTCATTTTAATATGCCTTTACTTTGGCAGGTTTCCATTGCACGGACTTGCAATTGCATACACTTCTTGCTACAGCAGAGACAGCGGGATATCGAATTTAGAGAGTCTGCTAATGAACAAAGACAACGGTAATTGTTCCCTTTACCTTATTGTATGTTTAATTTCGGTCTTCCGGTCTGTGCTGCCCAACTTGTAGTATTATTTTTGGGATGGCTTTCTGATGGCTAGTTTCTACGTAATAAAGTTCAATTTCCCAGCTACCTCTGTTACTAGGATTATTTTCTTGACATATCCGACATTCAACTTCATCAGATTTATGTTCCCACGTGTGTTTATTTTCGTTATATGCTATGTTCCTATCACGTATTTTATTTCTATAGATTCAGTTTTTCAGCAGCTCATTGGTCGATAGTCATCTAAATTGGTGAAGAGACTAGAGAGTGGCGTTTCTATACTGTTTCACATTTATAGGTCCATATCCACGTTATTGCCATGGGATTTCAGAAATCAAGTTTCAGATTATTTTTATTGTGGCAGTTGCAGAATAGCATTTAACCTCCACTTGTTTTTTTCATAAAGTAGCTGATTGGCCTCCTTTTTCCCCTTCTATACGTTTTGTGTGATAGACTACTATCTGACATATCAAGATTGGAAGCCAAAGTTGAGAGGCTTGAAGGACAACTACAATCTAAAGACAGGGAGATTGCGACAATTACTAGAACAGTAAGACGATATGAAGTTTTTATATTAAATTTAGAGCAAATTATATTACAGAAAGTATAATTCAAAATTTATCAATCATGTCGTTATTCAAGACTTTCTTATTACAAAATAGTGTTACTTGATTCTCTCGTTTTTTTTTTTTTTTGGTTAATTCCGAATTAAATCCCTGTTCAGGAAGCTAAAAACACTGCTGCTCTCAAGGCTCAAATTGAGAAGCTTCAACAGGAGCGAGATGAATTTCAAAGAATGGTTATTGGTAATCAGGTCTGAAACTGGATCTATTTTGTTTCTTGCTGCATTTGATAATCATCACTTTATATTGGTCAAATTATGACTCTTATCAAAATGCATATATCAATGCTGATATAGCAAGTAAGGACTCAACAAATGCATGAGATGAAGAAGAAGGAAAAGGAATACATTAAGTTGCAGGTGGGATTTCTTTTTTCTTTCTTCAAATTCAGAAAAGAAATCTATTTATATGAATAATGCTTACATGATAGGATTTGTACTTATGAACAATTACATAACACAAGTTTATCAGATATTAAATTTTAAATGAAGGTCTATCATGTTCCTGCAGGAGAGGCTAAATCAAGTATTGATGGAGAAGAAAAAGGAATCTAGGTCAGGCATGGAAATAATGAATTTGCTTCAGGTATAAATTATACAAGTGGCTTTAATGTGTCTGGCAACTTTTTCAGTGCCATGGTAATTTGGTATCCATTATGTGTGTAATTCAGAAAGAAGGGCGGCAACGTGGAACATGGAATGGGAAGAAGACAGACAATGACTTCTATAAAAAGATTGTATGCAGCTTGATTTGTTTTCTCTGTGGCTTGACAGGCTTTTGTATTTTGGACTTTTTCATCTCTTACATTTCGTTTATAATATTATAGGTAGATGCTTATGAGGCAAAAAATCAAGAACTGATAGCAGAGAATGCTGATTTACGGGCATTATTGAGATCAATGCAGGTAATTCTCTTGTACTAATTGGCAATTTTTGAAGTTTCTGCTTTGCGACAAGTGTTTGAATGTAATATGCCTTTCTTCAACTTTTTCTATATGTTCTCATTCAGCATTGGCTGCCTTTTTGATCTTTCAACTCGCCTCCCCTTATTATGATGGGGAATATATACCATGCAGTTGGCAAATTAGAATTAAACATTTATAACTCCTGATTCTCCGAGTAGCTAGCCGTAAGGATATGCCTTTTATACTTACTCTGCTGTACGCAAGTTATTGATTTTGAGTTCATGCATTTTGTTTTGGAAACTTCTTCCTTGAGCATTTTTCTTTCATCCTTAGATCATAGTAGTTTTCGTCGTGTTCTTGCCCATGATTCTGAGACTTGTGAGCGTGCTGCTTTCAGATGGACATGCGTGATTTTATTAATGCTCCCAATGGGCAATCAAAGCAATCTGTCAATGATAATGAAAGAGCTGAAAGTGATCCTTCACAATCTCCATTGGTTGGGAGGACGGTATGAAGCTTATTATTAGACTTTTTGCCTTTGCCAAGCTGCCATATGTAGTTAATCAAGTACTACTTGCAGGATGTATTTGATCTCCCTTTTCACATGGCTAGAGATCAAATAGAAGAAAGCCTTCGAGCCAAGATGGCTTCCATAAAGGTTTTTACTTACCAATATCTTTTTCCACTTTTGAGTATTAGCATATACGAATATGAGCATCGTTCATGTCTTAATTGTTGAAGCCTTGAAATATGAAGGAGCGGATGGTACAATTGCAAGATGCTCAGAAAGGAGCTGAAGTTACCTCAGAAGCGACTGAGAGAGAACTTGAGCTTGAAGCTCAGCTTGTTGAAGCAAGGAGCATCATACAGGAGCAGGTAATGTTTCTGCTTTTGCAAATACTAATTTGGTGCATTTACTTGTTCATAAAATAGAAAAAGAAAATTAAAACATAGGAGAACTTTGCCACCGCCCTTGATCTCTTGTCTATACCAGACACCAAGTGAGGTTTTAGGATCGATCTGTCTAACTTGCCTTGGGGCTTCTAATTCAGTATTATGGGTGAGTGTAAAGCGACTCTATATCCGTTAGCCGTCCTAGAATGACTAAAGTGGAAACTTCTGTTCCGTCTGATCTATGAGGATTTTTTTTTCTATTAAGATCATAAGGAAATCTTTTGGTCCACTGGCTATTAATTCAATTGAATCCAAAATTATAAAAAGGTTTCCACTTTTACTAAACCCAACAAAAGAGATTTTACTGAATCATTCCTTTCAATTATCTACTGTCTTGCTGCTTGGCAGAATTTTTCTTGTCAGTCTGTTGTAATGACAATGCATTGCATATTTGAATATTATATGACGATGTATTGTACTGTGCAGGCGTCCATAATGTCCAAACATCTTGCGAAGTCTGAGAGGCCAAGGTACTTTCACAATGCTTTACCCTTGGTAAAAATCGATTTTTAAAAGTTTTCCCTGGTAGTATTCTCTCATCCCTATTTTCCTTTCTATTTTCCCTTATCCAATCAAGCCATATGGTTGAGGAAATATTGATTACGTGTGATGCAGTAGTAAGTCATTGTTTCTTTAATTTTACAGGGAATCTGTCATCCCATCACCAGCTGAGGTATGTACTTATTCATGCGTGCCTCTGTACTGTTAAAATTCATTAACCTTGCAAGTTGTTCAGGTCCATAAATGTTGAAACGTTGATTTATGCTCGCATTATAAATCAAATACAAAGGATAATTAGTGGCTTTCTCATCCCAGATAAAAAGGGTGTTTGGATGGAAACCAAACTATGGTTTCAAAAGTGTTTTTACGGTTTACAAAGTAAATATATGGAGGAGTTTGCCTCGTTTTGCGGAGAAGCACTTTTGAGGGTTGCCAAACACCCCAAGTGTATAATTTGGCATTTCTTCTCATTTTGTGATAGATTGGTTGTCACTTGCTTCTCAATTTGTCCCATAATTTGTTGTTGTGTCCTGATCTTGTTTCTTTCTGATTTCAGGCAGTTTAACTATGGATGCTGAGGGCACCCTGATATCTAGTCCTTCTTCGTCACTGCTGAAGCTGATACATGTGACTAGGCCTTACTTATGTTGTATTGTCAATGTAATTAGCATAGCCTATCATAATCTACATCAAGTCTATGACATGAAAACATGGACTTGTCCGGTAGATTTAAATGGATCTTCACGATTTATTAACTCGGTGTATATTTATTAAATCAATATATTTATCAACATAACATTCATGACATGTTATATACTAAATTTCATGAACTATGAAATTTGTGGTATGGCAATATGAATTTAGAAAAAATATCGCCTATTTATTATAAATAATTAATTTAACTAATTTTTTTAATTTACTTAAATTAGTGAATTAGCTCTTATATTAAATACCAGAGCTAGTTATATCTTTTTTTTTTGGGTATAACTTTGTTGACTACTCGGGTAACTTTATGCCGTTGATAGGATTGCATTTTGTTTTCATTTTCACTTTTTTTTTGGGGGAAAAAGCATCAAATTGTACTATCTCTGGTTCTTAATATAAGAGTTAAATAACTAATCTACAAATATTAAGAAAATTAGTTAAATTAGTTATTATACTAAGTATGTATTGTCTTCTCTAAAATACTCTTACTAATCATGTGAATTAACTAGAACTATCATTTGATAGAATCTTTAACATGTATAACTACTACAGAAACTATTTTGAAAACAATAAATAAATATGATAAACAAAAAATGAATTGAGATAATTAGACAAACTAACTCTTATATTAAGATTAGAGGTTTTATCTTTCAAGACGTGCCTCTTCAATTCGTTTTTGTTCGGAGGGATTTACATGAATGATCACAAGTAAAAATCTCACCCAAGTATACAAGGAATTGTTGAAACTAAGCAGATCCATCAGGTGTGGAAACATTATACAATTATAACAGCACAACTGGGAAGATCCTTCTCATATGGAACATGAACACGTTATTTTTCGGCACAAACTAATCAAACAGTATGGAAAATAAGAGGGACAAATTATTCAATTAATCACTTGTCGACATGCATATCACATAATATCAGTCCCGCTTCATAATAATATTCAGAGTCTTTGCAAAATGTAATGGCATGCAACTCAAGGACCGTCCATATGCTTCCCCAGCAGAACATCCTGACCTTGTTAAATGCATTGCCGGACGACACGGCGAAGATGAGGAAGAAGAAGAAGATGAAGAACTCGAATCACGAGGCGAAGCGAGGGACTCAAAATCAGAACTGTACTCTAAGAATCTTTCAAACACATCCAAATCCTTGACATGATCATCATCATCAACATTCTTGGGACATTCTGGGAGTGATGATCTCTTACGGTTTCCTTTAGTGATCCTCTTCCATAGACGACGTCGCAGCCTGCACCAGACAGTGGAAGAATTAGGGTTTTCATGGATGCATGGTTTTGGAAGGCCTAAGCTAACAAGAGCAGGAGGAGGACTGAGAGGAGGAAGCTCTTCCTTTGGTGGATCCTTAGCAATTCCAGGCTTCATTTCCCAGTTGAATGGAACCCCTTCACCACTTCTATAGTAATAGAATATTCTAGAAGAACACCCCACTGAAGAATTCCTCGCAAGAATCCTCATCAACTGCTTCTCTTTCTCAAAATCCATAATATCTAAGGATCTCTGATAATGGAGGGCTGATCAATGGAAATTTTCTGTCTATACTTAGAATCCTTGGTGTTTGATAATATATATAGACCATTTGTGCATGATGATGATTCATATATGTATGTATATATATACTAGTTTCAGTTTGAAAGATTCAAATGTTGAGTAGAATTAGTGGTTGTATGTTAATTAATTAATGAAGTTTATCACTTTGTGTTTGTGTTACTTAGGGTTTTAGAGATCAAAGTCCTTTTGTGAATGAGAAGGAAACAAAATGGGAAGCATTATGCGTATGACAAGTATCGTTGTTTGTAAGGTTACGTTATATATATATTATTTGTTTGTTGGGGCAATATTTATTTATTGTTGACCAAAACCATTTTAGACTCGACCGTCTTTGCTTCGTCCACAAATTTCATTCTTCATTTTTTTTTTGTGAATTGTCTTCAATATTGTGATTTGATTTTTTTTTCTTTCTATAGTTACTATTTTTTTTCACTTCAATCGTTTTGGTTTCACTTAAAAAAATACATCTTCTCGTAATACTTTGTATTTTTTTTTCACGCCATTGCCTTGATAGGAAAATTTTTTTTAAGTCCTTAATTATATTGCTCAATTTTTAATTTGATCGCGTAATTGTTTTTGTTACTAATTAAACTTAATGACAAGAAATTTTTTTAAAACCATGGAGCAAAGGTTTATTAGAACAAAATATATTATAGATAACTGAAATATCGGACAATCCAATTCGGAGGACATATTTGAAAATTAAGATAACTAGTAGTTTTACTTTTTATTTTTTTATGTGGACGGCGGTCATAAAAAGGACCCAATCTTAAGAAAGAATTTTTAGAAGCAACCAAATTTAATCAAAAGAAGCCCAATTAGGAGGACAACGTATATACTCAATGTCAATGATATATACTAATAGTTAATTTATTACTTTGGACGTGCATAAAATAACAGGGTTGCACAAATATAATTAGGATTTTCTTGAAGTATTTCATATATATGAAGTTAAATAAAGTGAAAAAAAAAAGTCATATTTGTACCTATAAATCCTAAGAATCCTTAAAAAATGGAACTCTTTTATCTCTTTCAAAATTCATAGCATCTTTCAATCCTATTATTAAACAGGAATCTTGAAAGTAGCATTTTAGGAAATCGTTTTCACACAAGCATTAAATTATAACTTAACTAATTTTTTTTTAATCTCTCCAAATTAATTAACTAAGTTTTATATTTAGCACCAAAGGTAACATATCGATAAGATCACATTAAATGAGCATCTCTCTTACTAAAGTTTGATTTAACTTGTATCAAGATTAATTTATCAAGAGACTTATTAACAGAAAATATAGACACAGCCCAATAATTTGTCTACAACAAGCGAAATAAGGTATGATGTTGAAATTGTGGAATAGAAAATACGAGAAGTAGTCTTGAGGTTAGGCTTTTGTGTTGAAAATATGACCATAAAGTTGATGAGTATTGTGGAAATCTAACTGCACAATATCGGCTTTGGATCTGAGAACTTTACTATTATCTCAAGAAATCAAAAAACTAAAAATGTAATCCATTCATTGAACTTCGTTCATTAATGTCAAATGCTATCAAATACTACCTTCGGTCCTTAATATAATGGCTTGTTTGATTTTTATTTTGGTCCTAAATTTAAGACCCTAATCTATTTATTTCTCATATTTGTTCATATTTTTTCGAAAATAGTCCTTATAATAATGATAGTTCCAGTCAATACACTTGATTTTTCTAAGGATATTTTAGAAAAAACGACACCTATTTATTACAAATAACTAATTTAACTAATTTTTTTAATCTATTTAAATTAGTCAATTAGTTCTTATATTAAGGAGAGTAGATAGTATGATTTCATCATTATTAATCCAGTTGACTTTTGAGGTTTATTATTTTTTACAGATCCTGATGATCATGTGAGTTTGTCAGTTTGACATGTGTAATCTGGTCATGTGAGTATATATAAATTCCTAAATGTAGAAAACCTGTAACTTCACAAAATAAGGGCCTGTTTGGGTGTTCTGAAACCGTGGTTTCAGAAGCACTTTTCCGCAAAACGAGGTAACCTCCTCCACATATTTACTTCGTAATCCGTAAAAGCACTTCTGAAACCATGGTTTGGTTTCTATCCAAACACTCCCTAAGACAGCAATACATAAAGGAGGGGGGGGAGGTATGCCTTAAAAGAGACCCTATTATTGTTCTAACCGACGTCATCAAGAGAAACCTGAAATGATTAGGATGAACAAATGTTATTGAGTATTTGTATTATTTTTATTTTTTTAGATTAGATTGAAAAGTAAGAAATTTGAAACCGTCCCTAATTTAAATTTTAAAGCATGTACGCGTAAAACCTTATCATGATCATTAACAATGAAAAACCAATTCACACTTCATTAACCATGAGATCTAATAGTAAAAGCATAACATTAAAGTGATCGTAAGTAAGTGATATTTTATAGTCTCTATGTTTTTTTATAATTATAAAAAAATATCTATATATATCCTTTAAATCTAATCACATCAAGATTAAAAACAGGTAGTTAACATTAATTATGCGTCTTATTTTTCAAAAAAAAAAAGTTACTATTAACATCTCAAAACTATCCTAGTCTGATCCATATTAATCGTTACGAGAGATATATATTTGAAGAATGGATTCTATGAAGGATATTTTTAAGATAAAGCTCATGAATTGTGTAGGTCCATGCAATGTTAGGAAGGAGAGGCGATTCTTTAAATAGATTCATGAAATATTATAAAGTTATGTTCCTTTAAAGAGCCGTGATATGTCAGCAGAAATCATTTCATTGTTTATAAAAGGCATTATTCAAAACACATAAATTTACTTACTTTTACTTTTGACCACATAAAAGAAATAAAAGCAAGAGCACATACAGAGACAAGCGTTATTTCAAAAAAGAAAAAGAAAGAGCAAAAGAAAAGCTTTATTTTGGACACGATCTGGAGAGCAGTAATTACGTTAATTACTTTATAATTATAATATCTAGGATTCTTTTTGCTTGCTGCTTATATACACACACACACCCACACACGGAATACAGGCATCAAAGTACTTAATTCCAGTGAGTGGTAATTATTATATTAATTACAAAAAAAATCCCCCCTGCCGATTGTGAGATCTTTTGCCAACTATCTCTAAAAAGAGAAACCTTATTCATATTATAAAAAAAAAAAAAAACCTTATTCAATTTAATAATTTTTTTCTGGGTACAGATATCCTCTTTTAAAAATAATCTATTTGAGATATTGTAGAACATTAAACGTATGCATATGTCGCAATACGGATTGGAATAAATTATTCGATGTAACGACAAATTTAGCCCCCCCCCCCCAAAAAAAAGCTGGCCCATGTTAGCACGAGACATCAACTTTGTTAAAACCTCTGGGCTTAATGGGCTTTTCGGCTGAAGGATTATCGGCCCATGACTAGTTTGGCAATCATGATCGAATGCAATTTTTTTAATTGTTAGGAGAAATACTCATATTTATAGCTTGTTTGGTTCAATTGCAAACTCTTTTGGGAATACAATGAGATGCAATGCAATAGGGTGCAATATAGTAATGATTACCATCAATATGT